CGCGGCAGCACCAGTCGGGCTCTGGGACGGTGTGAACAAAACGGGGGCTGAAAAGAAAAAACGGTTCCGAAGCAGAAGAGCGCAAGCACGGAGCTCGAACGGGAACCGCGTTGGTGTGAAAGGGTGACAAGCTGATAAGTCAACTACTACTGTCAGGGAACATACTGTGTGAACCAAGGCCTAAACAAAGACCAAAGGTTAACCAGTTAGCTGTCTTTGTGTATTGCAACCAGGGAGAGCAGTGATGGACGCTGCCACAATGGAACTCATATGAAATAAACAGCTGATTCCTCACACACACAGTAGTCTGTTGTTTCTATGCATACAATAGTGAGAAACATGCCTCTGGTTAATAATTATAGAACTTATTTTCTCCATAAAAGCTGGTGGGTTGAACGCAATACGGGAGGTGAAAATAACTATATTGTAGAATACAGAAGAATTGTGATGCTGTGGCTTTATCTGAAAACTGACAGCATAATTACATTTATGGCCCGGGACACACATATTTATTTAGATATGTTTTAAACAAGTTTAATTAAAAGGCTCGAGTGTTTCTTGCTCTGTCAGATACAACAAGTGGAATTTATCTTTTATTACTATACTGTAGCATATCGTTTTGTATTCCCACTGTCACAAATATAATCATATTCTGCATTGAATAAGATATGCTGCGTGTATTTGTTATCTTATGTTGTGATGTTTTTTGTTTTGATGGCACCTTTTGAAAGGGAGAAGCATTTATTTATCTCATTGTACATGTATATTGACATTAAACAATTATATTCTATTCTACATTGAATCATTTAAAATGATTCATATTTCGTTTCTATTTAACAAAACATATGTGGTTTAATCCACGTGAGTTTACAACTACAAAAATAATCGGTTTGTTTTTGTATCACATCCGACGGGAGGAAATGCAGCACGGCTCTCACTACCGATTTGTAATCCTAATTTAATCATCATCTTCACGACCATTTAATTTAGTAGGCTATCATATGTTCGCCGAATTGACATATAAGTACCAACAAATATGAATATGCTGTAGTCAACGACCGCTGGCACTGGAATGACCATGAAGAATATGTTTCTCTGTTGTCCACGTTTATAAAGCATAAAACAACACCATCAGAGCGCGGTGCAAAGTATCTAGATGGGTTTACACAGCGCCGTATAGATAGAATACGGCGCTGTGTTTACAGTAGGCCTAGTTGTTCTTATTATACATCATGTAGCCCGCTGTATAGAAAACTGTAGGTTCCCCACAGCATATTCATGACGTCCACTGGCGCATCAGAAATACGTTGATAGTGAAAGTGCAGTTGTATTCTCAAAGCACCGCAGTCTCTTCTCCTAAATCCTTTTGAATTCTTCTATCCACTATTCCTTAACCCTGAAAGGGTCTGTGGGCCATCGGTGTGACGAAGCTCCCCCATCCCCCCTCTTCTCCAGCATTGCTGGTACAGTTCTTGATAAATGGTATAAAACAATTAAAACATTGCAAGCTGAGGCTGTGAAAATGTTTTTAATATTATTGCCATAACAATCATAAATTCAGTTAATTCACAAATGTTGTGCAACGACAACATCAGACAGTTATACATAAAAGGGTCTGGCTTTAATACAAATGAAATACTGTAGGCTCGACAGCCCCCCTCAAGGTGATCAACACATGCAGGGCAGCATTGCCGGTCTGAAAGGGTCTCTGGAAATATCAAACATTTAATTAAAGTTTTAAAAGCAGTGACTTGTTAAAATCAGAGGTGGAAGAAGTATTCCGATTATTTACCTAGGTAAAAATACGTGTTAGAAGTAGGGCTGAACGATTAATCGATTTTAAATCGAAATCGCGATTTGAAATGATGCGATTATGAAATGATGCGATTATGAAATCGCAAAGCCTGCGATTATTTTTAACATTTATTTTAGTTTTACAATTATTTTTTTTTACAATTTTTTTTTTTCCATCACATGTTTCTATTACAGGGTGAATCTTAAAAATGAAGCTTGACTTTAAAGCAACCCAACGGAAGTTTCATGTAAGTTTAGTTTTTTCACTCGTAGCTCGGACTGCGAGGGTGCTAGAGACGGGAGTACGTTGATACGACCTTCCTAGCCGGAGTTATGGCCGCATTTTACAATACACTTCCGTTGGGTCACTTAAAAACAAATATCGCAAATCGCAATCGCAATATTTGTCAGAAAAATCGCAATTAGATTTTTTTTTTTCCCAAAATCGTGCAGCCCTAGTTAGAAGTAAATGTCCTGCATTCAAAATTGTCAATTGCCCAAGTGAAAAGTATTATCATCTGAAAGTAAAATGAATCATTATGTTATTAGTATTAAATATGTGACCTGCTCTATCTAAATCAGTCGCATTGACCCGAAGACACATTTTGAGTTGTATACACTGTTGGAAAGAGGAGATTCCTAGCTTTCTAATTATATCAGGATTGTTTTTGTACTCCAAATATTAAGCAAAATATGTCACATTATATAATGACTGTCACAGAGTCATACTTTTGAGAAAAAGGCCTTCAAAGTTTCCTCTTCTCTGGAATCCATCGATCTGATTGATTATTAGTGGAGCAAATGATCAAAATACTCCGGAGGGAAGATATTTTCGTTTGGAGGGGAAGCTCGCGAGTGTGTGTGTATTTGTGTAATTTTGGGTTTGTGTGTATTGTGTTTGTTTCCCGGGGAAAACCCTCACAAGAAACACCGGCTGTTGTTATGCCTGCTGTGACGTTAAGTTACTCCGTTCTCCGCTTGTAATTATGCCGAAGCTTCAAAGTTGTATTTATCATCTGAATTTGCCGAAACAAGTTTAATATTCTGAAAGCCAAGACTTTGTTTAATTGAAATCAGATGAAAACAAACTGTAACGGACCCTGCCGTGTTATCTATGATTACTATACTCTTACATTCATAATTTCAGCGGAGGGAGGGGGGCGGCTTTGCTGGAAGAGCAGATGGCGAGTGAGAGGTGACTGTCTTCGTCCCTTTACAAGCTTCAAACATGTATTTATCGTGTGATTTTGGAAATAAAAGTTTCATATTCTGAAAGCCAAGACTTTGTTTATTTAAAATCAAATAAAACACCCGAACCCCGAAAAAATAGTTTTTTACGTAAATCCACGTTTATTTTGAAATGAGCCGTTGCGACTTCCGACTGATTTCGATAGAGCGGGTCACAAATAAGTATTTGTACAACTTATATTTAGAAATACTCTGTTGTAATTATTGATGCATAAATGTGTTCATCCATTCAATGTGGCATCTGCTATAATGGGGTTAGTGTATGATATTACTTAATAATACAATACATTATATAATACATGATAATGTATACGTTGATTTACTTCGATCTACTGTACTGTGTACACCACAACAATATTACAAAAAATATACTGCATATTAAAGCAAACTATTGTAAAGGTAAAAGTATGAGCATACAAAATAAAGAAGTGTAAACATTTACATTATTATAATTATTATTTAATATATAAAGACTATATATTATTGAATTACAATCAAGATAATAAGATTAGATATACTTTATTTTACATTACATTACATTGCATTTAGCTGACGCTTTTGTCCAAAGCGACTTACAATAAGTACATTCGACCAGGAAGACACAACCTTGAAGAAAACAGAATCATATAAGTATATCAGGTTTCATAGAGCCAAACATTTCAAGTGCTACTCAACTGGCTTTAGGTAATCCAGTCCTTTATTGGTATAAAAGTGCTTCGTTAATAGTTCTAACGCTCGAAGTGGAGTCGAAAGAGATGAGTTTTCAGTTTGCGCCGGAAGCTGTGCAAGCTATCTGCCGTCCTGATGTCAATGGGGAGCTCATTCCACCATCTTGGAGCCAGGATAGCAAACCCACGTGTTTTCGCCGATGGGAACTTGGGTCCCCCTCGCAGCGAGGGCGCAACGAGTCGTTTGGCTGATGCAGAGCGTAGTGCATGTGCTGGGGTGTACGGTTTAACCATGTCCTGGATGTAGGAAGGGCCAGATCCATTCGCAGCACGGTAAGCAAGTACCAGTGTCTTGAAGTGGATTCTAGCAGTTACCGGAAGCCAGTGAAGGGAGCGGAGGAGCGGAGTGGTGTGGGAGAATTTAGGAAGGATGGATTGATCTAAAATATTGATGTGTTTTCGTTATAGTAGCCTGTGAAAACCATAACAAATAAGTGATTAAATGCTACATTATTCAGCAAACACAACTGCAGAGCTGCAAACATTGCAAACAAACTAAGGCCTACAACACCCAGTTGTCTTTGTGTATTTGTGAATGAAGCGCCATCTCATGGTTAAATCCTGAAATTGAACAAATGGGGGAAATCTGGCAACGCCCCTCTCAGGAAATAGTGGGACGGCTTTAAAATCCCAGGCACTGGGATCCGCTGGGTGGAGTCCATTCTAGAGTGCTACATCTGTAGACTCTGGCTGTGGAGATGTTAATAGCAAAACACCAAACTAATCACAATGTACTTAACATCCTGCTTTCAAAGCTTTACTTAATTCTAGTACAACAGTATTAGCATCAAATCAAAATACCAAAAATAGTAGCATGTTTTATCATCGGATTATAGTTATTGATGCTTTCTCATATACAGTTATTGTATAAACTATATATTGATAATGCTTTTTTCAGAGGTGGACGCAGTACTTTTTTATTTTAGTAATGTTTCAATACTACGATTGAATTTATTTATAACCAAAGAAATACATGGTAAATTCATTGTGATCACATTTTGTTTTGTTTATCTGAATCTGTGAAGTTATCAACTGAATGTAGTGGAGTAAAAATAACATATTTCCCTTTTAAATAGTAGTGAAGTAGAAGTAGCATGAGCAGCCTCCTCAAGTACTGTACTTAAGTACTTATTGACCTCAAAAGTGTACTTAAGTACAATAATATACTTAGTTTCTGTCCATCACTGCTGTCATGTTATATTTGTGTATCTGTATTTGAATGTGTGGCAGGAGCATTCCTGCTGTATTCTCAAAAGAAGTTGGCCCATCTGGAGCAGACGGAACAAGGAGGAGAACCAGATGTCTGCGGCCGAAAGGCTTCTATACTACAGGTGCTAAATTACACAAAAGATCTGCCAGTTCTAGTGCTTCACTCTGTTCATGTAGGAGCCAAAATGCTTATCTGGCGGCTTCTTAGAAATGTAGTTACTACATTCCCCACAGCCTCAGTACCAGAGGTGGAAGAAGTACTCTTGTTTGAAATACTAGTAGAAGTACCAGAGTGTAGGAATCCTCTGTTACAAGTAAAAGTCAATTCAAGTAAAAGTATTAGCATCAAAATATAGGTAAAGTACCAAAAGTAAAACTAATCATTATGCAGATTGTCCATTTCACAATAATATATATGATGTGTTTTATAATGATTGATCATTAAAGTGTTCTCAAAGCTGGTAAAGGTGCAGCTAGTTTGAATGACTTTGTATACTGCAGGGTAGCTTGTGGATTTACTCCAGGTGGAACTAAAGTCTGATTTAACACTTGATTATACTTCACATCATTAATCAAAATCTGTAACTAAAGGTGTTAAATACATGTAGTGGAGTAAAAGTAAACAATTTACCTCTGAATTGTAGAGGAGTAGAAGTTAAAAGTAGCAACAAATGGAAATACTCAGATAAAGTACAAGTACCTCAAAATTGCACTTAAGTACAATAGTTGAATACATCTACATTACTTTGCACCATTGCTCAGTACACAATGGATGCATCATGGTAACCTTGTCCAACCAAACTGTTCCTCTCCGCTCCCCGCTGTGCAGCTCATACAGCAGTGGCAGGCTCTGGATGATTCCAGCAGATCCAAGTACAGCAGGAAGTCCTCCCGCTGCCCCGAGCCCTCTCTGGGCCAGTTACGGCCCGACGTCTGCTTCGGATCGGTCTCTGAAAACTTCCACAGCATCACAGAGAAATACCTGCAGAGCGAAGGAAGGCGAAAACAGGACAGCATCGACACAAACAGGTACTGAATGTGAGGGTTTTAAATGTGGCAAAACTGTAGTACAACTTCATGAAACCAAGAAATCCTTACCTTTTTAATTATGAGCCAAATACGCAAGGGTGATGGATGTTAAATATTTTCTTGAAGTGTGTCATTCTGGTCCTAAGCAAAGGATCCTGTTTTGTTTGATGTGACTACAAACACGTTTAAAATGTCAAGGTATTGTTTGTGAAGCTTTAAGGGGACTTATCCGGCTTTTGGGGGGTTTCCTCTTTCTTTCATTTTTCACCTGTTTTGTCTATTTGTAAGGTAAATGAAGCCTCATGCCTCTCTTTCACTCTGTGTTCAGCCTCCGTCAGCTGCTGCACTACAAGTGGCAGCGCTCGCTGTGTGACCCGGGTGAAGCAGTGGGTCTGCTTGCAGCTCAGTCTATAGGGGAGCCCTCCACCCAGATGACCCTCAACACCTTCCACTTTGCCGGCAGAGGAGAGATGAACGTGACTCTGGGAATCCCTCGGTACGTCGCCTTTACGCCTAACTCATTAATCACTTTATATACTGTATAAGAGATAATTTGCAGTGAGCCAGTTATTATAGCCAAAAGAATCCCAACAGTTTCTTTTAACCAGTCTTTAAAAAACGGCAGAGCCCATACTGCAGTGACCACCAACTGGCCGACATCCGGCCCGCCAGACATTCTCATCCGGCCCGCACGACGGGGGTGATTGTGGTGTTGGCTGAGTGGTTACTGCGTTCGCCTCCCACCCATTTTATTTTTTTACAACGTCGTGAGTAAGGTGCAGTACCGGAGTCCAACAGAGAGGCAGCAGCTGCGGGACAGTAGACTGCGTACTGCGAAACCTTCCCTGCCTTCAAGAAGAAGTGACCCTTCGTTGTGAAGAGTCTGATTTGTGCGCTCCGCAGCAGTAGCCCCGCTGCGACGGAGTCCAACAGAGGCCCCGTCTCAGGTCGGTTAAATGAAATCCTTGCTTCCCTCACTTGCGTCGTTTCCCTGCGTTTAGTCCCTCCCACCAGGGAAGCATGGAGAGACGCAAGGAAACCACGAGAAGCAGGGAAATGAGTTTTAAGAGCAATGGGACGTCCTTTCCTCCGGAGCGTCACGTGAAGCGACGTCCGTTTGTGATGACGCTGCACAGCTGATCGTCTGACAGCAGCCAGCTCTGTCCCCGTTATTTCCACACACCCCCCCGCCACACATTTACTGACACAAACATTTGTATCATCTGTTGTAGACCCCAATAAATCAAATCAAATAAGAACTAATTCTCAAAAAAGATAAACGCTATTCTTAAAATGTATAAACGAACAATAGTTTGATTAATATTGATTAGAGTGCACAATAGAAATAAAATAATTGAGAGAAGAAAAGAGATATGTTATCTATCAAAACCCAGTTAGATTAACATTCATTGGATTGCACACTTTGTTTGTTTGTTTGTTTGTTTGTGTGGATATGTAGCACATTAACATTTTAATAGCACTTAATGACTGACTGAATGGAAATGACAATAAATGAAAATATAAAACGAAAAAAGCGATCATGAAAATGTTTCCAAAAAATGAATTAAATTATTTTTGACCACTTTGTTGTTCAGATATATCACATATTTGTAACTAAATGAAACAGGAATTCAAACAAAACACGGTATAAACTGAGGAGTGACTCCCGTGAGGTTCATGTATTTTCTTCACTCTGCTCTCATGTCAAGAAGCATGAGATCAGTGCATGCACTGCATCGTCCAATCAGTGAGCGATACACAGTAAGGGGGCGGGGCGAGTGTCTGAGGATTTCATCTGAGGATGGTCTGGTGGTTCTTCGATTATCGCTCCTCCATGATCGCTCCTCGATCCTCGATCTTTGGTCCTCCGGCAGAAATAAGAGCCATGGGACGGTACTCAAGATGGCGCAGACTTCAACTTCCGGTAAGACCGAAGACCGAGGAGCGAGGAAATGAAAATAGTCGACCTGAGACAGGGCCAGAGAGGCAGGAGCTGCGGGACAGTAGCCTAGAAGCAGGGTTGGGTTGTAACCATAGACTGGTTGTAACGGAATACATGTAACGGCGTTACGCAGAATATAAAAATCAAGTAGGCTAACTGTATTCAGCTCGCGTTACATTTGAAAAACTAGTAATCTGATTACAGTTACTTTCGTAAACCTGAAGTGAATACATTTTGGAATACTTATTGGAATTATTGGTGGAAAAGTTTCCTCACAAAATGTAATATTCATTACCGGCAGAACTGTGCACACTGCACAGCGCTGCAGCATATCTGTGAGCGAGAGAGAGATGCAGCGTGTCTGTGAGGCCCCGCCCCCGCACGCAGATGAGAGAGAGATGCAGCGTGTCTGTGAGGCCCCGCCCCCGCACGCAGTGAGAGAGAGAGATCTCTTATAAAATATATTGAAAGTTAGAAACGGAGATGGTTGGATAAAATGTGCAAGATAACGTTTATGTAGCATTTCTTTATTGTCGAAATTATGACATTTCATAACGATCAAATCAAAGTGAATGGCCTGCTGCTGCTGAATGCATGGGGCAAGTGACTGGAACAAGTTTTAAAAGTTATTACATCGTTTCAGATAATAAATTAAAGGTCCGCAGTAGCTGAGCGTGCTCCACTAGCATTGTGGACTATATGAAAATCGCTGGCCCGCGATAGTGTCTATTGGATACATTTTGGCCCTTGGACAAATGTAGTTGGTGATCCCTGCCATACTGGTTCCTGTTAGTGTTTACTTCCTGTGTGTCTTCTTCTGCGGACATTAAATTGACCGGACTTCTTTCTGCCGATCGATATTACTGTGTATTGTCCCTTGATAAGAGCGTTCTTAGCAGCTGCATGCTATCAAAAAAAGAACAGAATGATGAATTTAAAGATTGACCAATCAGAGTCGAGCTTTCAACTGAGCTGTGTATTAATAGAGTTGTGCAGTAATTACGTTTTTTGTTTACCGACGCGGAAGTTAGCATCGCACTGGTTCCATCGACAAAAAGCAATGGGATTGAGTACGACACAGGTTCATCTCCACATATTAACACCACTTTTATAATAGTTGAAGCGCAAATGCAATCACCAGATGTAAAAAGCTAACTTATCACGGTCGCATGGTTGCTCATTACAGCTGTCACACTTAAGCTGGCTATTGTTCGGCATGATGATGTTTAGCAGTCTCATTTCGTCACGCCTTTGACACATTCACAGCTTCAGACTTTCCCCAGTGAGGTCATTACTGACGTATTTTATGTTGAGGAATAAAACATGAAAAGCTCTTCACCGTGTCAGACATTAGACCTTATTTCAGAGATATAAACACAAACTCACAAAAACCTTTGACTTCAAGACAAGTGCTCAAATGCTTACTAATTTCAGGGTTTTAGGACTCGCTCCTTCACCACTTTAAATAAAAAAAGTTTGGACATCTTCAATTGGCAATTGATGACTGTTTTAGTGTTATTAAACAAAATACCTTTCCTAAAAAAACATTGTCTACTTACTCATCCCTGCTTCATCTGCCCCAGCCTTCCCCACTGTTCCTCCATGTCTCACCCCCACCCTGTGTCTCTGTTTGTCTCGCAGACTGAGGGAGATCCTGATGGTGGCTAGCTCCAACATTAAGACTCCCATGATGAGAGTTCCTGTGCTAAACACCAAGAGAGCCTTGAAGAGAGCCAAGACGCTGCGCAAGAAACTCACCAGAGTCTGCCTGGCTGAGGTAAGGGTCCCTTCTCTTCTGTTTACTCTCCTCTGTTATTATGTTCATATTCCATTATCTCTTTTGCTAGACTAATGTTATCTTTGGGTTCTTTTGATGTTTTTTCTTCTGTTATATTGAAATACTTCCTGAGCCGTCCCTATTATTTTCATTAACCATAAACCTGTACATTCTTTTTTTGATTTATCATTTGGTCTATGATTGTTTTTAATCCTTTTTTGTGGCATTTCTTCATGTTTCTTCCCTTTGTGTATCTTTTATTTCCTTGTATTTTTTCACTTCGTTTGCATATATCGTTTTTTTGAACAGGCCTGCAACTCTTTTTTCATTACCCATAAATCTGCCCATTGTTTTCTGGATACATTTTTTATTTTATCGGCTATAACATTTTAGGAAATCAGATCCCGGTTTCTCAAAGAACAAAAGTGTCTATTTAAGAAAATGTCAAATCTCCTTATTCCGAAAAGCTGAAAACTGTATATTCTGCCAGTTGTTTCTTATTATTCTAATTTTACTTCTGTAGTTAGACGTATAGTTTAATCATTGCAAATACAGATGTGTTTGGAGATGTCCAACTGTGTGTGTGTGTGTGTGTGTGTGTGTGTGTGTGTGTGTGTGTGTGTGTGTGTGTGGTGTGTGTGTGTGTGTGTGTGTGTGTGTGTGTGTGTGTGTGTGTGTGTGTGTGTGTGTGTGTGTGTGTGTGTGTGTGTGTGTGTGTGTGTGTGTGTGTGTGTGTGTGTGGTGTGTGTGTGTGTGTGTGTGTGTGTGTGTGTGTGTGTGTGGTGTGTGTGTGTGTGTGTGTGTGTGTGTGTGTGTGTGTGTGTGTGTGTGTGTGTGTGTGTGTGTGTGTGTGTGTGTGTGTGTGTGTGTGTGTGTGTGTGTGGTTGTGTGTGTGTGTGTGTGTGTGTAGGTGCTGCAGAAGGTGGATGTGGTGGAGACGCTGCGGATTGAAGATCACCTCAAACTGCGGACTTTCAAAGTCACCTTCAACTTTCTGCCTCCTGACCGCTACTGTGAAGATAAGCTGCTCACACCACACCAGATCCTGTACTTCATGGAAAATAGGTGTGTATTTGTATGTGTGAGGGCCGTTAAATTTTCCTGTAAAATAATCCAGTAAGATTTAACCTGATATAAACATAAAGAAAGTACTGTTACACTTGATAATGGTGGTAAAATGAGTTGTGATATGCTTACCAATTTTCTTAAGCACTGTACTGTATCTAGGTTTAAATTGAGATTTTAGACACAAAAACTAGTGCTGAGATGTTGGATGTTACTATTGGAGGTCAGAAGTCCCCTTCCACCAACATTTAACCTTCAGTACAGTTAAGGCGAGACACGGCAGGCAAAAACATCGTTTTTCAAGTACTGGTCAATTTTGAGATTTTGTGCTATTTTGATTCCATAACATGTTTTCTTTCAGGCTTTTGGAAGGAAAACGTACAAAATACACATTTAAGTGTTTATTTTACTATAGTTTGTCTATTTGCGTCTGTAGATTTCTCCTAAATTCACCAAAAGTTAGCATTCTAACGTAACATAAAGTACCGCGACCGCTGTGTGCACCATGTCAACAGAGGTATCGTTGGAAAGCTCCGTCTCTCCTGCACAATCTCATCGGATCCAAATATGGTCATTTCCTTTGTATCAGCAACCAATCGTGAAAGCACAAAGGGGTCTTAAACCAAGAAACGAAATCTCATTGGCTGGTGTCAATTTCTGACAACGTGATTCGTTCAGATGCGTCACGTGGTGTGCTAAAACACTTCCTGGTTAGCTTTCAGCTAGAAATTGAAATCTCAAAATGCCAAAAGAACGGCGAAAAAAACGTTCACAGAGAAGACGACAACAATTGTCACTTGCACGAAGCGAGGTTATAAAAAAAAAAATGACCCTGAACATGAAATACCTTCACGGAGTGCGTCGATGCGCAAGCTGTCATCCAAAGAACAGGAGGGTTTAGCTAGCGCCTCACTGCAATCTTTAAAGGTCGTTTTCTCAAAATGAGTTTTTTCTCCTTCTCTGAGTTCGAAATGTCCACTTCAGTAGCACGTAGATACACCAAACCTTCCAGTTATATTCCTATCAATATTATGAAGGCTTTTACAGAAGGGTTTGTTCATATATAATTCATAGCCTGAATTATACAACATTGTATACCTAAAAACATGGCGAAAATGGATATTTTAGGGCTGTTGACAGTATTTTCTGATTTATGGAATGATAAAAAGAGATATCCAATATCCCTTCTGTAAAAGCCTTAGATACTAATATGACTACAAAATCAAACAAGAATTTTGAATCTGGCTATATCCAAAGTTCAGATTTCGATTCCTGAAATGTGTTAAAATATGTGCATATTTAATGAGATAATGGATCATTTGCATATTTAAACATGCTATTTCAGGAAACTTGTAATACAAAAGACAATTGCCTTATTGTAAGTAATTAACTGGAGAAATTTCTAGCTGATACCTTTAAGTTAAATAAATTACCCTATTCACCTGGGGTGTCTCGCCTTAAGTAAGTCTCATCAGGTTATCAAGTTATCATGTTATAAAAACTACTAACCAAACGGAATTTAATGAAAGTGCTTGCCCTTTTTTGGCACTGTTTTAGCTAATGCCAGCATGTTTCCATGTATTGATGCAGGGCTGACCCCCCTTGCATTATGCTACTTGTGCTGATAGCTATCACAGGCAACCTGCTCTCAGCACACACACACACAAATGCTAGTGGAGCCTCGCAGATGGGGGTGCTGCAGCCCTCTCAGCACCAACCCCTTCCCGCGTCCATGGTGAGTTTTGCGGTGTCTCGCTGTCTCGCAGACCCCACGCAGCAACCAGGAAACGACACCAGTAATACAGCTCACACTGTCCGCTCCTCACAGCAGCGAGCCCCGCAACGTCCCGCCAACACGGCACCCAGACCCATTCTGATCTGTTTGTCATTACTGGTCATTTTATGGTTGCTAACGCCATTTTAACACATAATCACTGATGTTCCGCTGTAACGGTGGTTGACTAATCAGAACAGAGTGGGCAGCTGATAGACCTGTCACGATAATTAATTTTGTTGGACGATAATTTTTCCTGGAAATTATTGCGATAAACGATAATATTGTCGGCACTGTTGTAAGACCATTTTAGACCACTGACATAATGATAATATATAATAAAAATTCAAGTACATCCTTTCAAACATAACTTTTTATTGAACATTAAACATCGCAAATGAAATGTGAAATAATATTAAAATATATAAATTATATATAATAAATAAAACAAATTAATTAAATTATAATAAATTAATTAAATCACACTCAACCAAAACAATACATTAAATAGACTCAGGCTGGAAAACAGAGCTCTCTATCTCTATCTCTCTCTCTATCTATCTATATATATATATATAAATAAATATGAGCACACAGTGTCTCACAAGCAAAAAAAACCTCCTTAAAACAACAGTCAGGTGTACAGTCCACTGTCCATACAAAGACCCAGATGCCTCAACAGGCCATATCCAAATCTGTATTTCAAAGATTTCGAGCAAGGAACACCAACATGTTTGCATTGTCGGGCAAATGCATCTTTGATTGTAAACTGTCGGGAAGGTGGGGGCTCTCCATCTCCAGCTGCCGTGTTTGCTCCCAGCTGGGAACACGGAATGGGTAGGTTGTGTTTCAGGTGTAGTTTAAAATGCGTGGTATTGCCTGCTTTTGTCGCTACCTTTTTTAAACAAATGCGACACACCGCCCGGCTCATTGAAGTCCGTAGGTTCGCCTCGTTGATTTGGCTTAAATCCAAAATACTCCAACACCGGAGAATCGAGATGTGTAGTTAGGTTTTGTAACCAATTCCATTTCACTTTAAATTCCCCGCGAGTAAATCACACGTTGTCTCCCGCTTGTTGCTATTTTATTAATTTGGCTGCTGCACGTGCACGCGGAGTGTCCTGACCTGGCTGTGTGTCAGCCCCGCCCCTCACAGCGCACGTGGCCGGCAGCCACAGCGCTCCTAGCTAAAATGCTGTCACATCCTTATGTAAACGCCAATTTATCGAGCTCAGAAAAGTTATCGAGTCCATTTATATTTATCGTACGATAAGTCAATTTATCGATTATCGCGACAGGCCTACGAGCTGACCAATCAGAGCACAGTGGGCTCATAGGGAGGGGGGGGCAGGGCCTCCAACAAGCCATGTAGGAAAGAGTACTATACAGAGATGCTGTATGAGAAACCAATGTGAGTTTGGAACATTGAACAATGTAAATGGCCATGACATGGGACCTTTAAGAATTGAAAGAAGTTAATATTATTACACTGTTAACAGGTTATACACTTTTTTTTACAAATTTTTCCTAAAATTCCATAAAAGAATCTCCAGATAACCCCCTGTTTCATCAGATGAATCGTGTCGCCACATTGTTGCCAATAATTTTTTTATTTTCTTCACTTTGCTCCTTTGTTTTTTCCTACCAGGTTTTTCCGTCTCCTGCTGGAAGCCATTAAGAAGCGCAGCGCCAAGCTTGCCTCCATCGCCGTGGAAACAAGGAAGGCCACTCTCCGAGATAAGGACAACGATGCAGAGGGCACCGCTGACAACGCAGGGGTCTGTTTTATTATTTGAGTGCTCCCTATATGGTTTTTAGATGTACTGTTGTCACTCATATTTGAATCAAAGCATCTCTTAAATACCAAAATAAAATCGGAAGTTTTTTCATCATGTTGAAATCAGCTAGACGACGTGGAGATAGAAGAGGAGCGAGAGATTGTTGACGACCAGGCCAACGAAGGAGACGCCGACGCATCGGACGCCAAAAGGAAAGACAAACAGCAAGAGGAGGTATGAAGACAGATCAAATACTTCTTAAACAATACTCAGACCCATTCTAGGGTGTGTTAAAGCTGCACCACTTGGAAATACAAAGCTCTGAAATTAATCTCTTTTACTTTAGACATGTCTGAACAAAGGTTTGCGAAAGCATCGAGTATACCAAGTTAACACTAGAAATAACGCCGCTCAACTAACAGCCCGTCCACACGGTGGCGTGCGTTGAAGCTTCAACGCTTCTGCCCATTCACTTTGAATGGGGTGACGTCACGCTTTGCTGAACTGCATTGTGGGAGCGTTGCTTCGCTTTGCTTTGCTCGCTTCGCTTTGCTCGCGTTACTCGCTTCAATAGTTGAGCAATGTTCAACTTTTGAAGCTTCGACGGAAGCGTCAGCCAATCAAATCATATGCCAGTACAAGCTCTAGCCAATCAACCGCGTGCTTGTGTGTCCGGGTCGGGGGATTCATGTGATTGGTTGTTGGTGGAGCTTCAGACACGCCTACCGGCAAGCTTCAACGCACGCCGCCGTGTGGACGCTGCGTAAACCACACATTTAGGAATGGTTTCAGAATCCTGTTAGTCATCCTGGAGTGTGTCTATACAGGCTTTATTTGCTCTGTTCCCGGATTCCACTCATGTTGGTGCTCATCCAACCCCTGCATTCCATTATTTCATCATAACGGTTTAACAAGACAAGATACACAGCCATGCTTCTGACTCTGTGAGGCTGCACTGTACACAGTGTTGCTTTGAGCTAAATGCTAACCTAAGTAAGCTAACAAGCCATAAGGAAATTGCTAGCTTGCTTACTTTTAGCAGATTTAATTGTTTACATGTTCACCCTAAAAGCTTGAAACATATACTTTCCGTCCTTACTAATATTTTTCAATCTAGTGTTGAAGATATTTGCTTTACATTACATTGCATTTAGCTGACGCTTTTATCCAAAGCGACTTACAATAAGTACATTCGACCAGGAAGACACAACCTTGAAGAAAACAGAATCATATAAGGTTTCATAGAGCCAAACATTTCAAGTGCTACTCAAGTAGCACTTGAAATGTTTGGTCCTTTATTAGTATATAAGTGCTTTGTTAATAAATCTATCGCTCGAAGTGGAGTCGAAAGAGATGTAGTTTGCCTTCTCTCTAATATAATGGAACTAGATGGTGCTTCACATTTTGCGCCACAAATGACATTTGAGTAGTAATGTGTGGTTCAAGAAATCATTCCCCTTTACTCAGCATACTCCACAGAGCTTATTGTGAGCAGTATGATCTAGGAACTATTTTGTTTATACCAAACCACACCTGTGAATGAGTGAGCATGAGCATCTACACCAGGGGTGCCCAACCAGTCGATCGCGATCGACCGGTCGATCACAGGAAGATTCCCAGTCGATCGCGAGATGTGTCTAAAAATAGAACAACAATATTCTGTTTTATCGTTAATGTCCTATAACATAATCTTCCTGTGCCAGAATAATGCACTTGAACGCATCAAAGCTTTGTGATTGGCCGGCGTGACCCCATGTGTCGGGCGTGGCTGGTGGGCAGTGGGCACTAGTTGACGTTGTCCGTGTCAACAGGAGTGACAGTCCGCACACACACAAGACCGCAATTATGGCAGAAGCAAACAGCCCAAAATATATAATTTTCACTCCGAGTGGGAGGATGATTATTTTTGTATCTATTCCAATTCAAAGTCCATCTGTCTCATCTGCAATGCGAGCGTGGCTTTATCGAAGAAGGGTAATTTAGGAGCGGCATTTCAAAACAGTGCACAAACGCTACGAGACGGAATTCCCTCCTAATTCTGCCCTACGCTCCAAAAGGGGAGGGGCCTGAAAGGACAGCTAAATGCACAGCAGTCCATTTCACCAGGCCCAACAACAAGAGCAAGGCTGCTACCAGAGCATCTTATCGTGTCAGTCACGTTCTAGCGAAACACATGAAGTCTTTCAAAGACGGCGAAGTTGTGAAAGAAGCATTCCTGGAGGCTGCGACGCGCTTTATGGGGACAGTAAAAATAACAGAAGCATTTCAACAGGTTTTTGATATAATAAAAACTAAAGTTAGATACCGTTATTAATCAGCTGTAAGTTTTAGTTTGTTTGAACTTATTCATTATAATTATTGTACAAAAGGGTATAAGAATGCAAACTTAAATTGATTATAGTCTATTATCAATTCAGGTTAAGAAACTAGTGTTGCTTGCATCCTATTTTAAGGCATTTATTTTTATAATCTACTAAAATGCAACAAATAAGGGTTTGATTCTATTAATTTTGTCTTTCAGCAGATTCCTGAGTAGCTTCAGATCTGAGTTGTCTTATTAGGAAGCCTCATTTATACTTTTGTAGCAACACTATTTTTATATAATGGCAAAGAAAGGGTTCAGAGTCTTTTCTTTTTCCCTGTGTCATATGTGGCAGCACTGTTCAATGTTTCTTGAAAACATTACCCACTGTAGTGACGTGTGAATAAACTCCAACTCTGTATCAACAACACTGTTGTGTAACTTCAGTTAAATACTACTATGTGAAAGAGGTAAGATAAAGGATCTGCAGTATTTTATGAAGTATTAATCGTACAAAGGTCAGTTTTATACAAGTAGAAGTGTGTATTTACCTGGTAGTAGGCTGTCAGTAATGGCTACGCCTTCTCTATTTGGACTGGTAGATTCTCGGCAGACTGGCAACTTTAAAAGTAGCTCTCGGTTCAAAAAAGGTTGGGCACCCCTGGTCTACACCATGAGTAGATGCATGTTCTTTTCTGCACGATGGTATGGTTAGTAGGGTTGTAACGGTTCACAGAATTCATGGTCCGGTACGTACCTCGGTTTGGGGGTCACGGTTCGGTACGGGTTCGGTACAACAAGAAAAAGCAAAAAAAAGTCCCAAATGCATAAATCCAGGTTTGTTGTTATTTATTTTTTAACAGTAGTGCAAGTTTCAGTATAACAATAAGGAACTCTAACATTTTTGAATAATTAACTGTATTAAACAGTTAAAAACAAACCACAAACAGTACCACACACACTCAGATGGCCATATTATCTATAATGGCTGATGTCAAACAAAAAGGTTTCATCAAGCTGTAAAACTAAAAAGAATGTCTTGAAAAAGGAAAATATTACATAATAAATTATAAGAAAGTGTTTCAAGGGCGCATAGCAATTGAAATATATATAATAGTTGCGCTGACAGGTCCACACACTGCTTCCCCGCAGCAAGGCTCCCCCGTCCTCCTGTTGACAGTTCACGAGCGTCGAGCTCCTCACCGAGTTGAAGTTCGATGATTTACAGAAGACAAAAATTCACACGCAACACATTTCAAATAGTACATGATTGGATTGACAAATTCATATAAATGAATTTGGTGTTTTTTGTCATTTTTATTTAACCAAAGATTCCTCAAACTGTGTAAGCAAAATTGGCTGAGAAATACTGCACACTGATTATTTTACTAGTAACCTTGAAACAAGGTTGATATAGTAATGCAAATGATATTCAACAACAGATTTAAATAGCAAAATCTTATCAAATCATAATCAGTTCTTAAATTGCTTCCTCTTTTGTTGTGCTTTACATTTTTAGTTTTGAGCATTATTTAGCACCTCATCTTCACACAGGAAGTGGTGTCTTTGTATCTTTCTAACTATATACTTGATTACTCTACACCAGGGGTGCCCACACTTTTTTGGCTTGTGAGCTACTTTTGAAATGACCAGCTCACCAAGGTCTACCAACCAAAAATAAAATCCCAAATTGCAAGGGGCTGAATAACACGTTTTATTTATACATGGGATAACTACAACAACTCTATTTGGGTTCTTGAATAGAAACAAATACATGAATACATCAAACTAAAAAGGCATGTTAACCTCTCTCTCTCTATTTCTCTATCTCTCTCTCTCTATTTCTCCCTGTTAAGAAACTCATAACAAGCAGGCTAAGAAACCACTCTCCATGGTCCTGAAATCTTAAAGATAAAACACAAATATAAGTACAAGGAATACAGTAAAGTAGAACACTCAACTTGACACCAGACTCAAATGGGTCATATGAACAGTCTCTCAAAGTTATAATGAAATATACAGGGGTGCACATAACTTTTTTAGTGAGTTACTCAGATGAGTACCAGGAGACAGCGTTTGGTCCTCCTCAGTGTCTCCTTCACTGTCCTCTATTTACACTTCTTGCATGCTAGATGATGAAGATGCACCTCCATGTCTCTTTTTAAGCCTCCGATTTCCTGAGGCCAAGTTTTAGGATCATATTAGGGGTGGGCGATATGACGATATTAGGTCTCCACGATATGCCTTTTCAGAGATATCATATCTATCGTGATAGTGCACCCGGGTAGGATTTTCAAAATAATTGTACAGCCACCATGGCCTGCGTGCCCCTGGTACTGTTAAAATCTCGAAGTTGCTTTAAAAGTGTCAGAACAGTGGTTTCTGAACTGCATTATGCTGCGTTCACAACGGACGCAATGCGAATATTCTCACCCTAACCGCTGGAGTTTCACTGCGGCTGTCAGCTGTGTTTACTCCTGTCATTCAAACAGGACGCACTGGAGAGGGGGCGGGGCTTATATCCATGTAAATACTGTGGTGGAAACCAACTACGACCAAATTAACCTATTTTATCGTGATTTAATTGTAATGCACGTTTCAAAATGATGCCGAAGTAACTACATACTGATAACGGTTAGTAAAAACACAAGCTGTCTAGTCAGGATTCAGACAGTATTGCACTTCATTTATTGTCTTGGTTGATTCTGTTGGCTTATATTTTATTTTATCAATAAGGTATTTATATTGTTTTTCTCCTTTGAAACAGATGTTCAGTTATGTTAAAGTCTTTGATTGCACTTCAAGTCTAAAGTTTACATTTTAATTGTTTGGCACTGACTTTTCCTCATTGATGTTTTATGTTTTACTTAGTTATGTTTTACTCTCCTTTTCATGTTTATTGATGTTACATCACTGCTAGTGCTACCTAAAACAGAAAGGGAATTTTTATACTGAGAAACTGTGCCTTGAATATTTTATTTTATTTAGCAAGAGAGTGCACTTGGTGAAGAAACCAGTGTTAACGTTTGTTGTAGGGTGTAGGCCTACCTACTTGAACACTGAGGAAGCCATATCAAAATTCCTGTTGAATTGTTCATTCAGGGATTCACTGCAGAATTAAAACCAGCTTGAAATGGTATTTTGGTCTGTTACTCCTTTTTATTTGAGTTTGTGTTACCTTGTAGGTGGTTGTACTGTTAAGTAACTTGAAAAATAACCATAATAACTGACATGAAAAAATATCGTGATAAATATCGTCTATCGTGATACTGCTTGAAAAATATCGTGATATTATATTTTTCAATATCGCCCACCCCTAGATCATATACTAGGAAATTATCACATGACTTCATATCTGATTTCAGATGTGGGAAGTTACTAAGTACACTTATTCAAGTACTGTACTGAAGTGCAATAATTTGAGATATTTGTACTTTACTTGACTTTGATGCTACTTTGTACTTCTACTCCACTACAGTTCAAAGGTAAATGGTGTACTTTTCCTCCACTACATATATTTAATCCCTTTAGTTACTTCACAGATGTGGATGAATGATGTGAAATATAATCAAGTGTTAACTCAGACTTTAGTTCCACCTGGAGTAAATCCACTAGCTACCCTGCAGTATACAAAGTCATTCAAACTAGCTGCACCTTTACCAGCTTTGAGAACACTTTCATGATCAATCATTATAAAACACATCATATATATTATTCTGAAATGGACCAATCTGCACAACGACTACTTTTATTTTTGGTACTTTAACTATATTTTGATAATACTTTTCTAATTTTACTTGAGTAACATTTTGAATGCAAGACTTTTACTGTAACAGAGTATTCCTACACAAGATCTGAGTACTTCTTCCACCCCTGTCTGATTTCAAACTCTTCCATTAACACCCTGAGTAAGTTTGAAACTGTGTTTCACTCTACTTTGGTGTAAATCAAACTGCAGCAGCTTGCCCACAGAGTGTGAACGTTGTGATCAGCTGATTTTGCGCAGTTCTCCAGTGTGTGCACGAGGCACAGAATGTGCACAGGGGAGTCTCCCACTGCAGCCAGTTGGCGGAGTTTTGGCACAATTCAGTTGTTCATACCGACGTTAACCCTGCCTGTGCACACGGTGAACAACTCTGTTGTCCAGTGATCTAAGCCTCTGCCTCCTGTAAAGCTTCACAGGTCCGTCGGTTATATCCTGCGCGGCTCGCCCAGCTCCAGTTCAATCAGTCATAGAAAGTCCGAAGATTTTTTGCAGGGAGAGAAACGGCAACGTAGCTGCTTAATGTCTTTGTTTTTTTTGACATGTTTACTCCATTGAGTGTTGACAAGAAACACGTGTAGACGAAATATTTGTTTTGTTTTGAGGTACGCAAAGGCACGTAGTGACACACCAGGCGCGCTGTGGCTACCAGGCGCGCTGTGGCTGCCAGGCGCAATGCAAACATGTCTACTTGAGCAGGTCTCCCTTGAAAAAGAGATCAATGATCTCAAGGGATAGACCTGGATAAATAAAGGCTTGAAATTAAATTAAATGAATGTTGGTGTTCCTTGCTTGAAAATGTTGAAAAACAGATTTGGATATGGCCTGTTGAGGCATCTGGGTCTTTGTATGGACAGTGGACTGTTGTTTTAAGGAGGGTTTTTTTGCCTGTGGGACAATGTGTGCTCATATTTATTTATTTATTTATTTATTTATATATATATATATATATATATATATATATATATATATATATATATGAGAGATCTATTTTCCAGCCTGAGTCTATTTAATTTATTGTTTTGGTTGTGTGTGATTTAATTTATTTAATTTATTTGTTTTATTTATTATATATCATTTATATATTTTAATATTATTTCACATTTCATTTGGAATGTTCAATACAAATTCATGTTTGAAAGGATATACTTGAGTTATTATTATATATGATCATTCTCAGTGGTCTAAAATGGTCTTACAATATTATCGTTTATCGCAATAATTTCCAGGAAAATGTATCGTCCAACAAAATTAATTATCGTGACAGGCCTAACCCTGAGCATATTAAAAACTAATGCATTACCTACTGTTATATCACCATTAACATCTGTTGTTTTCCTCCACAGGTGGACTATGAGAGTGAGGAAGAGGACAAAGGCGAAGAGGATATAGAGGACCAGGACCAGGATGAGGAGCAGGAAGAGGGGGAGGAGGAGGCAGAAGGTGAGTCGGAGGAGTCCCAGCCCGAATCTGGTAGAGTGACATCAGAGAGGAGGAAGAAAAAAATATCAAAACGACTTGAAGAGGAAGAAGAGGACCCCTTGGATCTGATGAGGATTAACTACCTGTTCTGCAGTCCAACCGGCCATCGAGAGATACAGCTACGATGCTGAGAGCGAGCTGTGGTGTGAGGTGAGTCCATCACACAGCTGATTCAGAAGATTTGACATGGCTGCTCTTTAGCATTTAGATGTTTTATTAGTTTGTGTAGCCAAAGCAGCATATAGATTGTTCTCTGAACTCATACAAGTGTGGTTCTGTTAACATTACTTTTTATTGATCTAAAGCGACTTACATACATGAACATGCCCTAAAGTGGGCTAAGTATCTTGCACAAGAGGACACTTGGACTGTTGAATGAGGGGGTATGATTGAACCACTAACCCACTGATTGGTAGCCCAGCCGCTAAGTAAGACTCAAAATGTTGCGTAATTTCTCAACTCTTCACATAATATATTGGTAAGGTAAAATATGTTGTGTCACGGCCACTTAGTGACACTTATTACTAGCAGGGTTCGTACGGGTGCTTGAAATCCTTGAAAATGCTTGAAATTTGACGTGGTGTTTTCAAGGTTGTGAAAGTGCTTGAATTTTGGGAATGGTGCTTGAAATTGAGATAAAGTGCTTGAAAATGTAAATGCTTTACTTTTACAATAAATTGCTGTCTGACTGAATAGTTCGCTTTTTAGATTAAAAGAAAATAATTGCTTCGCTTCTAAAACAGCTCCGCTGCGTCCTTCCCGCGTTATGCGCGCGACCTGCAAGTGTTTGTGTTACGTGTGACCTGGGCATTCTGATGAGTGATAGATGACTGTGCCAGGAGGTTGCCGTTTCAACGAGCGTTGGCTAGCAGAAGACAAATACAAGCCATGGCTAAGACGAGGGTCAAGCCCACGAGTAGCCTCCTGCAAAGTTTGCAAAAATAACGATGGGAGAGTCTGCGCTGACGAGCCACATGAAAGGTACGCCGTAGTAGAGCATTTTAGATTAGGCTAACGTCGCATGTTACGTTTGTTTAAGCTAACGTTAGCAAGCTGAATAGCGAACTCGATTGAGGTATAATAATAATTGCAGGGGACAATCATTTCAGAGGAGCGTACCTATGTTATGTGCGTTACAGTCGCCATCCTGTGGTGTTCAGAGGATGAAGCACTCACGGCATTTCGTGTTATAGTCACGAAATATAATCTATTGATTCGAAACAGAGCGATTTTGAAAGCAATGTATTTCTACTGGTAGTATGTTTCGTGCCTAAACCAAATGTGACTTGCTCTCTCGAAATCAGTCACATTGACCCGAAGACACATTTTCGTTTGTATTACTGGTCTGGGGGAAGCTCGCGAGTGTGTGTGTGTGTGTATTTTTGCGTTTGTGTACCGGGGAAACACTCACAAGAAACACCGGCTGTTGTTATTCTTGCTGTGACGTTACATTAGTCCGTTCTCCGCTTGTAATTATGCCGAAGCTTCAAAGTTGTATTTATCATCTGAATTTGCCGAAACAAGTTTAATATTCTGAAAGCCAATACTTTGTTTATTTGAAAACATGAAAACAAACTCTCTTTTATATAAAATTGAAGTATTATACAAGTAAAACTACATGTTGCTTTAATCCCATGTAATTGTAGAATGAACACAGTCTTCCTTTGAAGATGTCTAAGTCAGGTGTCTTGAGTAGTCAGCATTACCTACAAATCATTGTACACATTTGTAAATATTATTTTCCACTTGTTACCATTGTGAGGCTATTTCTATGCAGCTCTGCGTGATTTTGTGGCTACAATTCAGACTAATACGCTACTAGAGGTGGAATAAGTACTCAGATCTTGTACTTGAGTAAAAGTACAAGTACTCAGATCTTGTACTTGAGTAAAAGTAGAAGTACTCAGATCTTGTACTTGAGTAAAAGTAGAAGTACCAGAGTGTAGGAATACTCTGTTACAGTAAAAGTCCTGCATTCAAAATGTTCCTCAAGTAAAAGTAGAAAAGTATTCTCATCAAAATATAGTGAAAGTAGCGACAGTAAAAGTAGTCGTTGTGCAGATTGGTCCATTTCAGAATAATATATATGGTGTGTTTTATAATGATTGATCATGAAAGTGTTCTCAAAGCTGGTAAAGGTGCAGCTAGTTTGAATGACTTTGTATACTGCAGGGTAGCTTGTGGATTTACTCCAGGTGGAACTAAAGTCTGATTTAACACTTGATTAGATTTCACATCATTCATCCACATCTGTGAAGTAACTAAAGGTATTAAATACATGTAGTGGAGGAAAAGTACACCATTTACCTCTGACTTATGTTTACTGCTAACCTAAAAGTACCTCAAAAATAGTAATCAATAATGTATTGAAAAGTTATTTGGCTGATTGTTTTATATTGGCTCAGACAGGTTATATGGGAGGCCCAGTCTACGTACAGATACCTAATTTTGAAATATTAAACTTAGTTTTCTTTTCTTTAATTTTTCATCCTCGTGTAGAATGCTATCACGAAACACACATTTGGTTGTTTATAGCATAAAGAACATCTGATTCAATGTGAGGTAGGGAAATAATCATTTGAGTATGTGTATATAAATATGTAATTTACAACAGCTGTAAGATGCTTGAAAAGATGGAAAATGCACCTTGAAAATGCTTGAAAAGTGCTTGAATTTGACTTTGGAAAAGGTGTAAGAACCCTGTACTAGAGATGGGAATGATTAATCGAATATTCGAAATTATTCAGGTATTTGAATATGAGTTATTAATATTTTTATTAATTTTTTTTTTTTTGGGAGGGATGCCTAAGTTGATTACATATTATCAAATTGAATAATAAAAACGAATAATAAATAATAAAACGATAATAATAAATAATAATAATAAACGAAATATGTGTTTTATTTTTGATGTTTTGAGGTTACCAAAGGCGCGTAGTGACACAATTGACGTTACGCAATTCAGATTTTTGCCGCGCATGCGTACCTGCGTACCAGTTATGTGCACCCCTGGCTATGACCCTTTATGGTTCCCACAGTTCAAACTGCAAAAAAATGTAGATTAGAGAAGTGCAAATTGCGACACGGTGTTGTCTTTCTCAGAATGTACTTCTATTTCTCTTTAACACACAGTTCTGTGTGATTTTGGTTACATTTCCTGTCTGTATTCAAGCTAACATGAAACGCGTGTGGTTCAGAAAAATAAATTCAGTAGGCTTCCTGTCTTTCAGTTCAGTAAATGGGCCTATTGTGCCTTTTGCAGTTTCATCTTTCCTGTAGTGTGGTTTATAGGTTTTTGAAACTGCATTCAGCCATGTCAGTGACATTTTGTACAATATTTTTACTGAAAAATGAGCATCATTCTGCTGTTATTAACTTGTATTGAGTTTAGTTAATTGATTTACAGATAGTTGAAAAAAACCTACAGTAGGCCTCTAATAAAAAAATATATATTCATTGCGTAATGTATTGTTTGTTTATACCTGCGTAGATGATCATGTCAGTAGATGTGCTGATTTTAAAGCAAACTGGCAGGCAGCTGAAGCAGCATTAGCACATAGCTTCCTGTGCTTTGTAGGACACATTCAAATCTCCTTATCGAGTATGCAGTTGTACATTTGCTGAGAGGACCTCTTTATTAGAGGGTCATTTGACAGTTGTGAAGAACTATCTGCAGTGTAAATGCTGCTTCTGAGGACCAAATGTATCTGTAATGTAACTCCATGTGTGTAGTCAAAATATCAACAGCTCTTTAAAGGGTTATTGTTTTAAACCCTTCTGCCCCTCGTTCACAGGTGGACCTGGTGCTGCCGGTGAGCAAGGTGCACTTTGACCTCACTTCAGTCCTGTCAACACTGGCTCAGAACGCCGTCATCATGGAAACCAAAGGCCTGACGCGCTGCCTGCTTAGTGAAGTCACCACGAAGACGGGAGAGAAAGAGACGCTCTTCAACACGGAAGGCATCAACATGCACGAGCTGTTCAAGCACAGCGATGTACGTAGGACGTTTACACTTCTCCTTTGTAACATGAAAGCAAAAACACATTAGCACATTATATGATCAGTCTGAGTTCACTTCTTTCTGGCACTTTGCAGCTCTTTCATCCATGTTGATTCCCCTTATCACTAATGTGTAAATAATGACGAAGCACAGAGTTAACTTATTCAGTCACTTGATGAATAACTTGATGGGATATGGGTGAGATTGGCCCGTCAGACAATATCTTACTGAAATGTCTTGTAGGCATGGCCGTATCTACCATTGAGGTCACCGAGGTCCGGACCTCGGTAATATTTTTACGAGCCGTGTTTACAAAACTTGTGAAATAATTGCACTAAACGGGGTTCTTTGTAGTACTTCCATTTACTGACGATGGGGGCGCTGCATAACTACGTAGCCTTGATTAAAGCAAACAGAAGAAGACGACATTCATCAACAAACCACCGCAGCCCGGACTTGTACCGGTGTCGGTACCATATGTGTTCGGGGTACCATATGTGTTCGGGTGCCGTCTCTTACCAATGACGTCACGCATTGTACGCATTGTGATTGGCTGTACAGTAATTTACCCAGGGGTGCTCGGGGGCAAATCACATCTACCGTATGGGGCGGGCCATTCTGCACATGCGTTAAATGCGTTAAATATTTGAATGCAATTAATTCAAAAATTAATTACCGACTGTAAGGGTTGGGTTACCGCCGTTAACGTGATAATTTTGACAGCATTAATATATATATATATATATATATATATATATATATATATATATATATATATATATTAGTGCTGTCAAAATTATCGCGTTAACGGCGGTAATTAATTTTTTTGAATTAATTGCATTCAAATATTTAACGCATTTAACGCATGCGCAGAATGGCCCGCCCCATACATCCCACCAGTGGCAGCGCCAGGGTATACTGGGGTAGGCTACAGCCATACCAAGAAATGGCTTGGCCCCACCATGAAAAATGATGTTAAAGTAAGCAAAATAAAGTCTGCCAACGCGCGCCGAGAATTGCACAGACAGCAGTTAGTAAGATTGATTTCAGCAGCCACTTGTCTGGAAATACCGAAGACTAGAAACGGTTTTGAAAACTTTTGTCAGGTAGTGATCGTCTTCTCAATAGAACATCTTTGATAATGTCTTCTGGCCAATCTGGCCCGTGGTGTTGTTGCAGGAAGTCCCGACGGAGAATACTTTTGCTGTAGTACAGGGGTGCACATAACTGGTACGCAGGTTATGTGCGTAATCTGAAATGCGTACCGTCACTTGTGTCACAAAGCGCATTTGCGTACCGACGTACTTGTGAAGCTTTTCCAGAAGGCGGTTAGATCACCGGACGACAGAGTCGGTCTCCGTGTGCACAGACAGGGCTGCTGTTAACGTCGGTCTGTACAACGGAATTGTGCCAAAACTACGCCAACCGGCTGCGGAGGGAGACTCCCCCCACTTCACTGGAGAACTGCGCTAAAACTGCTGATCACAACGTTGATAGAAATCAACACGTAATGAAATAAGCCCCCACGGTTTGATGATTGATAGGTGCTGTCTTTCATTTTGACACACAGAACAATGTTATAATAAACATACATACATACATGTATGTTAAATGGATATATCCGCCTTCTTTCATTTATCTTTCCATTCCCACAACAATATACATAAATAAATGGCATATTTTGGACATAGTTCGAATGGTGATTAATCATGATTAATACATTTTTAAGCTGTGATTAATCTGATAAAAAAAAATTGTATCGTAATCGTTTGACAGCCCTAATAATATATATATATATATATATATATATATATATCTATATATATCTATATCAATGGTCTTAATTTACAATAGGCATAATTGTAAAACAACATACATCTATTGCAGTTATGATGTTATAGTAACATACAATTGTATAAGACACCATTTGCTTACATCTTGTTCTCTTTGAGAATCAAACTAAACAGATTTAAATGACAAAAATAATGCAAACAAACAAGTGAATTAACTAAATTGCTGAATTGCTTTTAATTCACTGGCAGGAGCGACAAGTGAGGAGGAGAGAGTAATGAACAGGAAGAAGACAGAGAGACTTAAAGGTCCCATGTCATGCTTTTCTGGTTAGTACCTGTCCCCTTGTGTGTTATGAAGGTTTTTATGCATGTAAACGGTCTGCAGAGTCAAAACCCTCAAAGTACACCATGTAGCGAGTAAAACTCTAAAACAGAAAATACTTCCCCAAAACGCTCGTTGGAGATACGTCACTGTCCATTTGATTATTCCGGGTACGCATGATGTCAACCGTACCCGGAACGAAATGGACCAATCCGTGGAGCCGTTACGTTACATCCGCGGAGCCGTTACGTTAAGCCCCCGCTGATTGGTCCAAATTGACCAATCCACGGACTTCCTCACACACACACTCAGTGCAAGCAGCTCTGCTGATTTCTCCTCCCTGGCTGCAGGCTGATAACAGACAGTTGGGATCGCGGCGAAATTCTCTCTGCAGACCCATTCTCTCTGCAGACCCATTCTCTCTGCAGACCCATTCTCTCTGCAGACCCATTCTCTCTGCAGACCCATTCTCACAGCGTTTATCAACCTTTTTCTTACTCAATATCAAGCCACACTTATTGTTTTTACTTCGACTGTGACTTTGTGTGTGCTCAGGATGAGTTTCGCTGTGTATCGCTAAACAAGGAAACAACACCTCCACGGAGCTTAGCGAGATTCACAACGTCCCGACCAATCAGAGCACACTGTGCTCACAGGGAGGGTGGGGGCTGGAGCTATTGGAGCTACAACGAGCCGTTAAAGGCAGAGAGTGAAATTCAGTGAATACACGTAGATTACAGAGATGCTGTATGAGAAACCAATGTGAGTTTGGAAAATTGCACAATATAAATCTATTCTAGTAGACCTCAACAATGGAATTATGATCAGTGGAAATGGCCATGACATGGGACCTTTAATAAGATGGAAGAGAGGCTGCAGGTTATGGAAAGGAGAGAGACATGGAAAATGAATGTTGACAATGTTTTGTGATCATGTTAGCCTCTTCTGCATGTCCAGATCATTAATAGTAACAATCAACTGATTCTTGTGTATTACAATTTCAAAAATAATTTATGCTGACATGGTTTGAAATCAATATATTATCCAATGTGTGACCCCCCACAGGACTTAAAAAGCACCTAACTAGATCATGAAAATCCCAAAAACCTCGGGGGGTATCCCCCGAACCCCCCTAACATGTTTGGACCTCGGTATTTAGGAAATCCTGGATACGGCTCTGCTTATAGGTATATGAAATAATCTCATAAAATGGCTTTATTTGCTTTTTTTGACTGCAGATAACAGTTTGTGATTTTCGCCACATAAAGTCAAAGTTGGAAAAAAGTGGAGTTTATTTCAATTGAAATTGCTTTTAAGTTTGTTGTACTCTTAACATTTCCTGACAGGAGTCACAGGTACCTACACATATTTCATATTTCTCCCATTACGTTTTTATCAGTTACATTACATTACATTGCATTTATCTGACGCTTAATAAGTGCATTCGACCATGAAGACACAACCTTGAAGAAAACAGAATCATATACACTGAACAAAAATATAAATGCAACACTTTTGTTTTTGCTCCCATTTTTCATGAGATGAACTCAAAGATCTAAAACATTTTCTATATACACAAAATAACCATTTCTCTCAAATATTGTTCACAAATCTGAAAGAATCTGTGATAGTGAGCACTTCTCCTTTGCCGAGATAATCCATCCCACCTCACAGGTGTGGCATATCAAGATGCTGATTAGACAGCATGATTATTGCACAGGTGTGCCTTAGGCTGGCCACAATAAAAGGCCACTCTGAAACGTGCAGTTTTGCTTTATTGGGGGGGTCTGGGGGGGTCCGAAAACCAGTCAGTATCTGGTGTGACCACCATTTGCCTCACGCAGTGCAACACATCTCCTTCGCATAGAGTTGATCAGGTTGTTGATTGTGGCCTGTGGAATGTTGTTGGTCCACTCCTCTTCAATGGCTGACACACATAGGCGGCGCGTGAGGCTCAGGTTTGGGAAGGCTAAATAACTTGTTTTACCTGACGCTGCCCGCCTCCGGCGTCTATAGAAAAGAGATCAACTCAGTGTGCGGAGTTTAAATCTCTCAAGTCATATTACAGGATAAAGGAAATACAGTTTAAACTGCCGTATGCAGAGAAGACGCCGACGTGTCGCACTTATCATTCATATTACATCATCAATCAGATCATCGATCATATAATATCATAATATATCATATATTTCCTTATCTGAGTCAGCTTCTCCAGCCGTGCAACACTTACAGTGTCACATACTGTATGCAAAAGTATTATTTTAAGCAACACATTATGTTGACGAAACACTCGAGTCAAATGTAGTTAAAGTCAGATCCACTCGTGTCTTAGATGGGGCAGTGATATCATAAAACTATACGCTTTCAAACACTAGGCCTAGTTATTTTTTAACCAGTTGTTCTGTATTCTCCTTGCAGGTGCAACTCTGTGGCTTGTATCCTGGATTATATGTTTAAGTCATGGATGTTTAAAGCTCATATTTGTCTAATATTAGTTTACTTTTCATTAATGAAGTATGACGCTGCGCTGTCAGTACACTTGTCCCTGTTTGTGATTGGTCAAATGTAGCTAACCCCGCCCCCGTGAACGCGCTCTCAGCTGGTGAGAGAAACCCTGGCTTGATTTACCGAGTTGATAACCAGCGTCGTAGGACCGCTTAGCGAGATCTCGTTTGTTAGTTTGTTGTTGTTAGTTTGTTTGTTACTCAAACATATCTAGGGTATGTTGAACTGGCTTCGTAGTACAGGGCACAGGTGGCTAGCAGCGCTAATGTCAAAGACACAGACATTATACATTATATTTGTATTTTACCAGGATGCAGTGACACAAATATTTGGGAAGGCTTAGCCTTCCCTAGCCTACAGCACCCGCCGCCCCTGCTGACACATGAACAGGAATGGAGGAAAATACACATGATTATAGCATGAGGGGCTAAAAAACTAAATAAAATAAAACACCAGCGATACTTGGCTCAATCAGAGTAGGATTTGCCTCCTCTTTGCCTCCCTCTTTGCCTCCCTCTTTGCCTCCAATGTCTTTGTCAGTCTTCGTCTGTCTGACGCTCCAGGAAAGAGCTACCTAAAATGGACGCCTGATTGCTGAGTTCTCACAGCTGTGGGGCCATGCCCCTCTGATTAGTTAACTCTCTACAGCTGATGGGCGACAGCAGAGTGTCCCTGCCTATATTGTAATGCAGGGTTGAGAGGCGTGACCCACTGAGACCTGTGTAACAGGTTCAGTTGAGCAGATCTGAGATTTAAAATCTCTCAAAAGCGCAGTTTTAGCTACAATAACTACAGAACAATTATACAGAGTAGAATCAATGAAACAGAGAAGTCTATTTAAACAAGAATATAACTTACAGTGGTTGCTGCGTCAATAGGTAGTGTCGTCACCCGGTCTAGATGCACACTGCACACACACAGTTAAAATGTTAATTTGAAGAGAGTATTATAGATCTACAGTTAGGTTGGTGATCTGTAATAAAATTCATTTAAATTCAACACATCTCTAACCAGGTTTGAACTAATCATAATTCCAAACAAGATATACATTTAATGTCTCTTTTCTAAAGATCTTTTAATTTAGTAAATACATTTTTTCCAGATGTTCCCTTTTGCACATGTAGAATAGATAGGTTAAAGATAGAGAAGTTTTGTCAAGAAAACACATTTTTTTTATTTGTCAGGATCATTTATCTGTTTCAGTACTGATCTAATAAGTACTGCTCCACTACCCGATGTTCTAAAAAATACTAGAAGCTTTGCTAACATCCAAAAATATGTACCTTGTGATGGGAGTGCATGGAGAGATCAAAAAACACCTGTCTTACAAAGATGAACAAATAACAAACATTATGCTGGCAAAACATTAGTGTTCACCTATTCTTAAATCAGAGAGAGAGCTTTTACTTAAACTGGAGAGAAATCTATTTAAATAATATTGAGAAAATTGGGGGAAACAATTCTGTTGAGTCATGATGTGAATCATGTATATCTTGGTAGTTCACAAAACAGAGATATTTGTTCATTTGGATAATAACACAAATGCAGTGACTTACTAATTAAAGACTGTAAGGGTTGGGTTACCAGCTCAATAAATATTATTACAAGTGTTACGACATAGCACATATTTTTTTAAATCATACTTTTGTTATAATCCCAATTTATTTTATATTTCTCTCTCCAGATCTTGGACATCAACAGACTCTACTCCAATCAGGTCCACGCCATGGCTCAGACCTACGGGATCGAAGTGGCTCTGAAGGTCATAGAGAAGGAGATCAAAGACGTCTTTGCTGTCTATGGTACACACACGCAAATACGCACACACACAAACGCATACGCAAATACATGCACACACATGCACGCACACACACACACAGTATACCTGCCTATAGTAAACTTAAAGGGGACCTATCATGCAAAATGCACTCTTGTACGTCTTTTATACATGAATATGTGTCCCCGGTGTGTCAGGGAACTCACCAAGTGTCAGAAAATACAACCCTCTCTCTTTTCCTCTATACCCAAATCTCTAAAAACGGGGCTGCAACGGATCTGATACAGATCCAGATTTGAATTATTTTCTACTTCACAAAAGTGGTGCTCCGCTTAGTGGTCAATTCTCCACCTATCAGGGGAAAGAGAGGTTGGGCCATGGCCGGCCATTGCCGCTGGAAAGCGCTGGAGACACTGTAGTACATATGCCAGGCCTGTAATGGCGCGTTTCCACTGTAGGCCTCGCTCGGTTTGGTTAGGCCTTATTAGGCCCGGCTCACTTTAATGCTGCGCTTCCATTACAGTTTAGGAACTGGGGCAGTTACTATAGTAACGCAGTGTAGGCGGAGCCGTGACGTCATCTTCAATGAGCGCCCCAAAAAACAACACAGCCATTAGCTCTTAGCACTCAGAGCTCCTCATATCTGTTCAGAAACTAGACAAAAGTTAAACAAGTACAAACCACAGACTGCCTGTGTCATGGCGAATACAGTCGCTGGTTTATTTATGTCTGTATAGGCCGTTGTTGTGAGTGTGGACGGTCGGAGCATATATAACGTTAGCTTAGCCAAGCTCCATTTAGAAAACACGCATTTTAAAAGGGTTTTTTCGTCTGCCGACTGTCTGCAGACTTGTCAAAGCATTAATTCATGGTTTTTACTAACCGGTATCAGTATGTTGTTACTTCGGCATCATTTTGAAACGTGTATTATAATTAATTCACGGTAAAATATGTTCATCTTGTTGTAGTTGTAGCCCCCTTGCCAGCGATTCTCTCTCTAGTTTAGCATACTCAGCCCGACTCAGCCTGGTTGTTCCTGGCCCTAGAACCACGATTTAGTCGGGCCAGAAAAAAGGTGAAAAAGTAGCCCCGGGCCAAAACTAGGCCAAGTGGAAACGCAACCAAAAACGGGCCCCGCACGGCTCGGCACGCTTAAAGCGAGCTACCCGCTGCAGTGGAAACGCGCCATAAGTGACGCTGTAGTCTGCCACAAAAGCAGCGAAGAAGACTTCCCTTGCATGGTTGCCATGGTTGCCCTTCTGTTTATTCTCCGCTGTGGCTCTTTTTCTCCCTCCCCGAGGCAAGCGTTTGCACCTCCTGCTTTAAAACAAATGAATAATGACTCTATATAATCATATGTAAGGGATAATGTGCAGCGACGCGGTCATTATGGGGAAAAGAACACCGACAGGCTGATCAGAAGCCTGACGCGAAGCGGAGGGATCTAGATCGGCATGAAGGTGTTATTTATAATGACCAAGTCGCTGCACATTATCCCACTTATTACATGGCCACATTCTCAACAAAGTAACAATATGACTCCCAATATTAATTGAAATGCTTTTATGGATTTAGAAAATGATTTTATTTAGTTAAAAAATAGTTGTATGTATTGATTTAAATTGACATGCATCCGCTAAGAAAAATAGTCCGTTGTTACTGTTTGAACTAACGTAGCAACGGCAGGAACTGCTTCGATAGCGTTTTTGAGGAGCTTTTTGATTACAGATTTGAAAACATCGTTGCTTGCTTTGAAAGTAGCACAATTCATTATGTCAAACCTTGGAAAGTATCTAGATATCCCTGCCCTAATGCCAAAGTAACTGGCAACTGAATATGTGTTGCCGTTTGATGTCTATGTCTGGACCGCTGCGTAAAAATGAGGGTTTCTGCCCCATTACTTCTCTTCTTACTTCTATAAGAATAAAACACGGAGGACAGAGAACTCTTTTTCTCCCCCTCTTCTGACAGCCCAGCAGCTGATCTCAAAGCACGCTCCCCTCTCCTGCAGGGGGGGCGTGGTCAGCTGCAGCTCACAGAATCAGCCCCCTGCAAAAACAGGGCTGCAAAGAGCCAATAGAGCGAAATGAGGCATGGCTAAAATGCAGGATCTGTTTGGTATTTTGAAAAAAAAACTATATTTATATACTTTATATAGGTATGGCCCTACAATATACGTTTCAAATATAGCATGATATGTCCCCTTTAATTAAAATCAATTTGTAAATGTAACACTTTAAAAGACGGTTATAATCAGGGCTGCACATAACTGGTGCGCAGGTGCGCATGCGCACCTCCGCCAAAAAAAGAGCACCGGGTCATTTGAAAAAAGGCGCATTTGCGTTCCAAAATTGAGAGAGAGAGAGAGGGAGAAGAGAAAAGGGAGAAGAGAAAAGAGAGAAGGGAGAAGAGAGAGAGAGAGAGAAAGATATATGCGAGTTGCATATGAACTCAGGGCTGGCCCGTAGCACTGGCGTTATAGATGTTCGCCTTGGGCGCCAGATCTGTGGAGGCGCTGCGCTGGCAGCTCTGGGAGGGAAAAAAAATGTTTTGACCGTTGGGGCTCATCCTAATTTTCTGCCTTGATGTAACAACATTCATAATTAAGTAAATGTAACACCCTTTTCACCCCGGTTACACGTTTAATTTGCCCTGTACGATGGGCGCTGTAAGTGATGAAAATGGGGAATGTTGGCTTATCTGGCACCCGCAGCTCACAGCCAAAGTGCGAGGGAGAGAGGGAGGGTGCACCGGTTCCGGCGCTGTTGCTATTAGCATCTGGTGCTAGCTGCTCTAACGGATATAAGAAGAAGATTTTTCTACAATAATGTGGAGGGAGAGTCCTCTCCAGTCAGACTCAGAGGCTGATAACTACAGCTCAGTGAGGTAAATAACTCTGACTGTTTAGATAGTTAATGTAAGGGAAACTTCTGTAGCAATGGAGAGTCAGGACTCAGAGAGACACGGGACGAGCAGGAGTTCTGATGTCAAACACTGGCAGTTTATTACAAGCATTGGCCGGAGAATTCATATCACAAATCACAGCAGCAGAAAGTTCTGACTGCACCGGTGGGTTGCCATGTCAATTCTGCCTCCCTTCTCCTCTTGGCAGACCTTTAATTAGCGTCACTCAGAATCAACCCCCATATTGGGGAAAGCATCTGTGAACACCTGGGGGGCACTGAATCACTTTATCTGACTCTATGGCTCTTGTGACCGAGAGTTGACCAGTCATAAAACTCATAATGTCAGCAATAGCTGACAGTTCCCATTCCTTAAGACAGATAACAGACTTCGGCTTCGTCGTAAAACGTCAACAGACCGAAAGGTCAAATATCTTAGGAGTAAGGAGAATTATTCTTTGACACTTAGGAGTAAAGACAAAATTAATCCCTCACAGTTAACTTTAGTCTAAGTTCAAACGGTTTGGTCACAATTTATGTAAACACATATTTCCAAGGCACTCCTTTATATATAGGTTTGAAATCATTCCAATGTATACTATAGGACAGTAACCAAAAATATCCTTTAAAACTGGAGAGATAAAAAAAAATGCATAAATAAATAAATGTTAAAGAGCTTACGAAATGCTATTAGCACCTGTTAGTGGGCTTGGTATATGATAGAGGTTACATTTGTATTGTGAAATGTGCCATATGATTTTTTCATTATTGATGTATTTTTTAATAAATCACGATTATAACAGCATACAAATGTTGTCAGTTAGTAACAATCGTTCGTCGCTCTGGAAACAACAACTTCGGTCATTTCCGGCGGTGACGTCATGAGTAGAACACAGCTGAGTCACCATTGTTTAAATGCCTTGAAGCGGCAAATATTAAAACAAAGGATGCACAACAACAAAACGCGAAGAATCCGCAAGCGATGTGTGGTATGGGGATGTGGGGCCGTCTCCAAATCTGGCTATGGGATGTTTTTGTGGCCAAAAAATTGTCAAATGTCGCGTATATGGACCAAACAAGTGCGTCGTACGAGGGCGGACTTTGCTGGACTTGATTGATTGATTGAAAAGTTTATTAACAGCTTGTATATTGGGTACAGTACAGTACAGCTCAAAACATACAATTGTTAAGGGGATGCAGACCAGAGAAAGACTTTCGTCTTGTTTACATCAGGGTCCCCCATTTCCAATTCATCATATAACCAGGTAACCCGGGGTCGATGAAACCTACAATTTGTGGGCAGCACTTTGAAAGATCGTGTTTCGACCAGTCCACAATGCTCGCTAAGGAAATTGGATTAAAAAAAAAATTCAAACTGAACAAAGATGCTGTTCCAACAATACTGCCAAGACCCCAAATGCCAGCACAAGCCACCACGCCGATTCCTACATGTCCCCCGATGCAGAGTCCTCCACTAAAGAGACGGCGAAATGCATTCTCCAAAAGGGAGAGAGCGAAGGTAAGTTGCGCTACTTGTTGTTCAATGTTTACAAGCATAAAGCCTGACTCAAAATGACATGTAAAAAAAAAGTTTCTGACTTGTCTCGTGACCAGCTGCCCAGACATTTCGCGGGGGAAAATGATGAAAACGGGGCTTCGGGTGCCGTGGGAAGAACCTCCGTGTATTCACGTTCTTCACAGTAATCAGTTACATTGACACTGTATTGCATAGGCCTACAGACCAGCGCCATATAGATAGAATACAGACTACGGAGCTATTGATTGGTTGTCAATCTTATGTTTTTGAAAGTAGGCTAATACATTAACTGAAGGGGCTGGGCCGGGAGAGAGCGAGGCCCGCGTCAGAGGTCCACCCAAAACCGTCATGAAAAAGTTTAGCATTCTAATGCATCTAACTTTATGCACAATATAATAGTCTGGCCAGCCCTGCAGCCCGTTCTAGGTTCTGATTGGCTCTCTAGGTTGGCATTCTAGCTTCTGACTGGCTGTCCAGGTTGTCAATCACAGCCGTGGGCATATTATATTTACGACTAGTAATTCTCTATGAATTAAAGTCAAATGTATATAGCCTACCAGTCTGTGTTTTGTTGCCGCACCGGATCTCCGCCAAATCCAGGATCATCGTCCCCATTTTCGCTCCCGTCTGTATCTCTACCGCTACTTGAATACTGTGGCTCAAACTGGTATGGTTCCACCACGTTAGACTCCACACCGGCATCTTCTTCAATAAAATCCTCCTCTTCTTGAAAGTGCACCGAGTCTATTGACGACTCACTGTCACTCGATTCTGTCGAAATATCCGAGCCAGAGTCCGACATCAGCCATATAGTAAGTGTATTATTCAAAAAGGGTTCTACTCGTGACGTGCGTGACGTAACTAACCGGCGAAAGCCGTTTGGTCCGGAGCGGTCGTGTAACATCGGAAGCGAGCATGGAAAGTTGTAATAAATCACGATTTATAAATACAGCGGGCATATTGTCATCAATGACAAATGATTTCCCATTAATAATAGTATTTATTATCCTAATAAGAATAGTGTTGTCCTTCATTTCGTAAGCTCTTTAAGGTAAAATAAGATATGAACAACACAAATAAAATAAGTTACATTCATTTGTTATTGGCTATGGTAGGTTATTGGTTATGTTCACATACTTATTTGATTACATCCACTTGTCTAAGATGACAACAGAGACTTTCGACCCAAACCCAGCTGTTGACTTGTGGATGCAAGCATCTAATCACAGACTCAACCAGAGAGGAAGAAGTAGGCCTACATCATCAGCTACCATGTCTGACAGAGAGGAGAACAGTCAGGAGGGTAGTGATGACAGCTTATAGGATTACTGGTCGTGCTAATGTTGTCTTGTGTTCACCTCTGCATGTGTGTTCTGTGTTCACCTCTGCATGTGTGTTCAGTGCCGTGTGTCTGGCAAATAAAGTCAAGACCCCCTCAAAAGTTACGGTTTATTTCATTTTAAGGATGAGCACCAAGCAACATCTCCAGATGCTCCTTTGAGAACCAGGGCAAAAAAGTTATGTGCACCCCTGGTTATAATGTTCCACATATATGTTTAGTAGAAGTTCAAATGCAACAATGGAATTTGTATTTTTATAAAAACGTATCGACTGTTCAGTAAATAATATTATAATTCACATTTGAAGATACAATCTAAACTGTGTAACCTTATATCTCATTTATGCAAGCAATATTAAAGTCAAATGTTTAATGTTTACACAAATGGTGTACAAATAAAATAATGCTTGCTCAAAGGAAAAATAAGATACATTGCTTATATTGCATAGAGAGGCGAAGTCCCTCCCTTTCCGGTGGACCTCCATGGGACCTTATTTCGGAAAAATGATGTATTGAAGTCAATGGCGAGAGAAACGTTATCTTTCAATCCCGTTTGAATTGTGCCACGAATTACACATGATGTTTGTCAATTTAAAAGATAATTTTAAAAGTAAAAAAAAAAATGTTTTGCCGTAAAACTGTGAAGTAAGACTTTTTTTGTGTGAAACCGCTCAATGAACTACATCTCTGGTCTCGCACAACAACACACGTCACCAAGATGGCCGTCACTACTGTCTTGTCAAACAAGGGATTGACTATCTATCTATTGACTCACTATCACCGCAATGAAACACGTCCAGAAGAATGTCATGCAAAGCTGCCTGCCTGCCTGCCTTCGATTCTCCCTGAACTGCCTGATCTTTTTAATGTTCAATGTTAACCATTTGTGCAGATAGCATGAAGTAATAATTTAAAAAGATCGCCGATGCTAATGTAGCGTTAGCGTGTCTCCCCCGGGGGCATCCGGGCTTAAAGGTGTATTATAGAATGATCACACCGGTGTTTTGATTGATTGATTGAAAAGTTTATTAACAGCTTGTATATTGGGTACAGTACAGTACAGCTCAAAACATACAATTGTTAAGGGGATGCAGACCAGAGAAAGACTTTCGTCTTGTTTACATCAGGGTCCCCCATTTCCAATTCATCATATCATTTAAGACATATAAGACATATTTGACATACAGATGGCTTATTTACAATTTACATACAGGTGGTTTTTTACATACAGATTACTTATTTACAATTTTCATTTTAGATTTCGTTCTAATACATCCTAACCGGACATTTAAGACATACCAAGTCTACAGATATACAGTTAGTAACAGAGTCTAAAATGCGAGTATATACATAGATGGGGGGGGGGGAAGCTGTCCATTGTACGACAGGTTGAGATTTGTACCATTACCGGGGCCAGTTTTGCAATGCTCTCCCCCGAAGGTGCTCTTTAAGAGAGGTTTTGAAGGTAAGTATAGTTTTACTTTCCTTTACAGTTGTGGGAAGAGCGTTCCACCTTGATGTGGCATAATTGCGAAACGTGTATTCCCCCTTTTTTGTGCCAAATCTGGGTTTCACATGATTTGTGGAGCTCCCTCTGGTGTTATGATCATGGTATTCCTTGACCTTTGGGAAGAATTTTGACATGTACATGGGTACCATAGAGGTGTAGTGGATCTTGTAGACCAGGCCCATTGCAAGTAGCTGTACTCTGTCGTCTACTCTAAGCCATCCTAGGTTGTCAAAGTGGGCAGAGGTGAGGTGGGTTCTAGATGAAAGGTCAAGCAGTGGTCTGACCAGTTTATTTTGCGATGTTTGAAGTTTTATTTTTAGCGCCTTGGAGGTGCTATGGTACCATGACGTGCAAGCATAGTCATAGTACCCTTGAATGAGTGCTCCTGCCAGAGTTTTCAGGGTGTTTTTGTTTACCAGAGAGGAGATCCGGCATAGGAATCTAGTTCTTTGATTGACTTTTTTTATTACATTGGATGCCATTTTGTCACAGGAGAGGTTTGCCTCAAGAATAGATCCTAGGTATGTAATTTCCTTCTTACTTGTGACAATAATGTCGCCCACTGCAACTGAGAAGTCGTCGGATTTGCTGAGATTATGTTTCGAACCGAAGAGAATGGACTCTGTTTTACCCAGGTGTAATGATAATTTATTATCGGCGAGCCAGGTGCAGATTCTGCCGAGCTCGGAGCTGAGGGTTTTTTTCAACCTGCAACCTGTTCCTGTCAGAGACCAGCAGGGCTGAGTCGTCCGCGAACAGGAACAAGTTGCAGTCACATGCTGATGACATGTCATTTGCATAAATTAGGAACAGTAACGGACCTAATATGCTTCCTTGTGGAACACCACAGCAAACTGGGAGGGGGGGGGACAGAGTACCGTTTACCTCCACCATCTGTTCTCTCCCCTCCAGGTAGGATTGCATCCAGCTCACCGATAGTTTATCAAAACCAATTGCTTTTAGCTTGTCAATCAGAATGGGGTGATTGACAGTGTCGAAAGCCTTTTGTAGGTCCAGCATCACCATGCCGCAGTACTTGCCCTCGTCCACCTCTTGTTTGATGTGGTCGCTCAAATAAAGAAGGCATGTGTCAGTGGAGTGGGATGTTCTAAAGCCAGATTGAAATTCATAGATTAGTTTCTTTTCCGCGAGGTACTTTTCGACCTGTTCATATACTATTTTTTCCATGACTTTCGAGATGGAGGTAAGTATAGAAACAGGGCGGTAGTTGCCTTGGTCCAATTTGCTGCCCTTTTTGTGTAGGGGGGCTACTGTTGCAATTTTGAAGTCTTTGGGTACTTTTCCCTGTTTTATGGAGAGGTTAATTATGTGAGCTATGACTGGTGAGATGGCGGTTGCTGTGTCTCTGAGGAATTTGGAGAGGATATTGTCGTGGCCAGTGGCCTTGTTAGGTTGGAGGGCGCTCAGTTTAATGAGTACCTCTGCTGTTGTTACTGTGTGACAGTACTCTTCAAAGGGTTCACGACATATGACTACTACTCTTACTGTTTAACATTTTGGGTTACAATAATGTTACTTCATGTTAAGGCTAATAAAAATAACAAGGCTAAGCCGGTTGTAATGCTAACTAACGTGCTTGCTACTAGCTAGGTAGCTAACTTGATCCAGCCAGCCACTCCTGGTACAAAGCACACAGGCATCTTGTTAAAGTTATCTTAGCTATCTTATATTTAGTGGAGGAAAACAATTATGACATCACTTACGCGACTCTGGGATTTGTAGTCTTTCTAGTTGCATATTTTTCATAGTCTTATATTTCAACAGTTTTATGACAAACTCTGACTTTTTTTACATGGAAATTATTTTTTAAGATTGACAAACATCATATGTGTAATTCATGGCACAATTCGGGGATCGAAAGATACGTTTTCTCTCCCCATTGACTTCAATACATAATTTTTCTGAAATAAGGTCCCATGGAGCGGAAGTAGAAGGGCGGGACTTTGCCTCTCTATTATCATTTTCAAATTTGATTTACTGTTTAAATATTGTAAAGATATATATTTAAACAGCTTTTCCATTTTCATATTTATGTGGTAATGAAATGCAAATCGGAATCTTTTCTCTTTATTTCCTCACATTTTCCTGAAATAACCCATGTTGGAAATTAGAATGCTAATATTGAATTACATTTCTTTACTTGGGGCGGATGTTGGCTCAGTGGCTCAGTGGATTAGTGCGCTCACTCATATCCAGACCAAGGGAGCAAAAATACCATGGATTATTATTATTTTCAAGTAAAATAGTCTGTTAACAAAGTCCCCTCTGGGCTTCCGTACGGCAGATAGCAGATCTTATTATTGTCAGGAGCACTCACATTTAGTCTGTTTTGTGTTTCTCTGTCTGTCTCCAGGTATCGAGGTGGACCCCCGACATCTGTCACTGGTGGCAGATTACATGTGTTTTGAAGGAATATACAAGCCGTTAAACCGGCACGCCATCCGCTCCAACTCCTCCCCTCTGCAGCAGATGACTTTCGAGACCAGCTTCAAATTCCTCAAACAGGCTACCATGCTGGGTGAGGAACGGCTGATACAAATAGTAATTTCTATTCATATGCCGGGTACTTTGGTACTAACATTTGCTGTTTTGAGTGCATGAGTGTGTCTCAATTGGCAAAATGCACTACGAATGTCGCTTTACTAACTAGCTAGTAGGGCTGAACGATATACCGTGTCATGGCGATAACCGCGATATGCGCATGCGCGATATTCACACCGCAGGGACGTGCGGTTTTATTCATTTTTTTTAAAAATGCTAACGCACTTTAGCACAGAATTCAAAATAAAGATACCCTTATTACTTATCGAAACTGCACATACAATATATCCGATTAAAGCTGAGACTTCTGAAGCAATTGGAAACAGGACTCAGAGAGGCACGAGGAGAGCTGGAGCTTTGATGGCAAACACTGGTGGTTTATTTGGAGTTACGGCCGGAGAATTGACAGGACAGGTGGTGTGTCACGATTTGACACAGCGGTTGCCAAACCAATTCTGAAGAACTCTTCTGTAGTTCGATCTTTTAACTAGTTTGGAGTGTAATAATCAACATTCTTTATCAGTGAGACTAAACAAATATGGACCCTGAATCTAACTAGAGCTCTCGTCCATAGAAAAGAATGTGCGCCAGGGAACCTTCGTCCCTGAACAGTAAACTACCTCATGGCGGCTTGTGCTCTGTCATAGACTGGCAACAACAATGCGCCCAAGCTGCTCCTCCTTAAGAGAGATAGCAGCAATACCCTAAGGCCGTAGAACTATGCCATGGGAAAAGTGACAATAAAGAGAGAAAACGATGAACTATGTCGAAGGTTGAATACCTAAGCAAATTATTCCCTAACACCTTATCTAAGTTATTTTTTATCTCATGGCTGTTTTTCCTCTTTCAGGGTCACATGATGAGCTGGTGTCACCCTCTGCCTGTCTGGTGGCGGGGAAGGTAGTCAAAGGTGGAACCGGACTGTTTGATCTCAAACAACCTATGCAGTGAGAGTGGGAGGGGGGGATTGGATTGATGTACAAATAAAGGACCCTTCACTTTGACTGATCCCATCACTTCTATTAAACACTTTTGACAAATGCATAATAATGACAATTTGTATCTCCATTACTTATTCATGTTGTGTACAGTATGTGGCAATATTAGGTGCCAAATGTTCTTTAATTGTGTATTATGTATTGCAATACGTTTTTTTTTTATTCAGAGAGAACATAGGTTTTTCTGATCGAATATAATCTGTGTATCGACCGTCCAATTGTTTTTCTTTATTAAACACGTAAACGGAAGACCGTCTGAGAGGCCTTTTTGCTTTTTACCTTACTAAATGGTGAAATGGTCCTTGGAGCGAGGGGCGGGGCGAAACTCACGGAAGTGATTTCAAAACAAAAGCACTCGTTTGCTAAAATCACACTTTGAATCACTACAGTATCCTGCTGAAGGACCGGTGATTATTATAAACAAGGGGAATTTAGCGATCACAATGAAAATGGCCAAGACACATATTGAGCCCAGAAAATGGATGTTATTAAGGGCTGTCATTTCAAACCTTTATTTATACAGATAAATCCCATTGAGATCATTGATCTCTTTTTCAAGGGAGACCTGCTCAAGTAGTTCCACATGAAACATAAAAACATAAATAGAACAACAAAAGGACATCATACAGCATCATTTACATAATTATCCACATGAACAGGTACCTATAGCTTCCGATTGACTAGCATCCAACCGAGCTTTAAAAACATTTAGTGGCACCAGATTGTTCAGTTTCCATTTAATTTGCAGACTATTCCAAGACAGAGGAGCTGCGCATCTAAAAGCTGTCTTCCCTAAGACAGTCCTAGCAGTTGGCACATTTAATAAAACCACAGCATTCGATCTCAGGCAGTAGCCACTTACAATTTTCCGTGAGATCAGGGAGCAGATATAAGATGGAAGTTTCTAACATGGCTTTGTATATAAAAATGTACCAGTGACTGAGCCTCCGTACAGTTAGTGAAAGCAAACCAGCCCTTGCATACAGGGTACAGTGATGGGTTAATGCTTTACAGTTTGTCACAAATCTCAGTGCACTGTGATACGCAGCATCTAACTTGATCAGGCAATGGGCAGGTGCATTCATATAGATCAGATCACCATAGTCCAGCACAGGTAAAAAGGTCACAGTGACTAGCCTTTTCCTGGCCTCAAGCGAGAAACAGGACTTGTTCCTGTAGAAGAAACCTAGCCTAACCCTCAGCTTTTTAAGCAGATTATTGACATGAAGTTTAAAAGTGAGACAATCATCAAGCCAGATACCAAGGTATTTGTAACAGGTAACCACTTCAAGTTTTATTCCTTGCGTAGTTACAATATCTAAAACAGGCTCTGGTGTCTTTTTAGCTTTAGAAAAGAGCATTAACTTGGTTTTCTCAACATTTAAAAGAAGCTTTAGTTCAGAGAGCTGAGTCTGAATAATGTTAAAAACAGTCTGTAATTTAACACCAGCCTCCTTAATGGAGGGACCTGCACAGTACATCATGGTATCATCCGCATTTTCACTTAAACTGTTGATATATATGGAGAATAAAAGTGGACCTAAAACAGAACCTTGGGGAACACCATTAGCAATGTTTAACCACTCAGAAGACAGCCCATCAAAGTGAACACATTGGGACCTTTCAGAGAGGTAGTTCACAAACCAACCCACTGCATGGCTGGACATGCCAATACTGAGTAGCCTCTGCTTTAAGATGTGATGATCGACGGTATCAAACGCTTTGGACAGGTCAATAAATAGAGCTGCACAACTCTGCTTATTATCTAAAATACTCGCCACATCATTCACCACTTTCATTGTGGCAGTGATGGTGCTGTGTTGCTTTCTGAAGCCTGACTGATGTTTAGACAGGATGTCATTTGTACATAAAAACACCTTTACCTGTTCACTCACTAAGCGTTCAAGAACCTTGGCCAGAACTGACAACTTAGAGATTGGCCTATAGTTATTTAATAAGGTGGCCTCCCCTCCTTTTAGCAAAGGCAGGACATACGCTGACTTCCACCATTTTGGAATTGCTGTAAATATAATAAGCCTCTGTCTAAAATGGACAACATTGTTAGGAGATTTAAACTATACAGCGGTTCTGCACTGCGGTCACTCAGCCGCCTCTCAAGTTTGTTTTTTCAAATCAGCTACTCTTCATTGTTCCTGCTATATTCAATGAGTGATACAAATATTTGTTACCACAAGTTCTTAAGGAAACTGACACTCTTGGACTCGGTTCTAGTTTGACTTCTACCAGAAATAAAATGAAGTACTTACTGTGTACTTTTTGAGTAATCCTCTGTCAATGTTCCCTCCTGAGAACAAGAATGCATGTTTCTCTTCTATTTTGAATAAGCGTTAAAAAACCTTTCATCGTGAGACTGATATTGTTGGACTGAGTATTTTTAACAGTGTCAAACTCACAAAGAACTAATGGCAAAAATCATTTTTTCCCTCATCAAACTTAACAGAAGTGGCTTGATTTTGTTCTGAGGAAAGGACATTGACAGAGGATTTTTTTTTTTAAATAACACACTAGAAGTACTTCATTGTATTGTGGTAGTAGGTGTAAGACTACTGAGTCAAGCAGTATCAATATCATTAAGAACTAATGGTAAAATTGTCTTTTTATCATTCATCAAAGATAGCAGAAAACATGCACTATGACTCTGGCAGAGGATTATTCACTAAATACACCGTAAAAGTACTTCATTTTATTTCTGGTAGCAGTCAAACTAGTACCGACAACTGTCAGTTTTATTAAGAACTTATGATAACAAGTATTTGTATCGCTATCGATCATCAAATATAGCAGGACAAAAAATGAAAAGCATTTGAATTGAAAAAACAAACTCGAGAGACGGCTGAGGTGACCGCAGTGCAGAACCGCTGTAGCTATAGTTTAAATCTCCTAACAATGTTGTCCATTTTAGACATAGGCCTATTATATTTACAGCCCTTAATATCATTCATTTTCTGGGCTCAATATGTGTCTTGGCTGTTTTCGTTGTGATCGCTAAATTCCCCTTGTTTATAATAATCACCGGTCCTTCAGCAGGATACTGTACTGATTCAAAGTGTGATTTTAGCAAACGAGTGCTTTTGTTTTGAAATCACTTCCGAGAATTTCGCCCCGCCCCTCGTTCCAAGGACCATTTGACCAGTTAGTAAGATAAAAAGCAAAAACGCCTCTCAGACGCTCTTCCGTTTACGTGTCTAATAAAGAAAAACAATTGGGTAGATACACGGATTTTCACACTTGTGCCCTTACTTGGTGCCTAAAACCTTTCTCTTGTATTTAATTAAAAAAATGAAAATATGTTTAAAACAATGTGTCTTGTTATTTTCTTTGCAGTTATGTTTATTGTCCAGAATGTTAAGTGTGTCTTTGTCAATAATTTAAAAAACGTTAGTGAATAGTGGTAATGTGATCATGCGGCTGCTGCAGGGGACTCTACGAAAGGGCGGAAGTGGAGGCGAGTTTTCCGACCGTTGATTGGCTCGCGGTCTAGGAAAGGAGGTGGCTGAAAATCGCCGCTTGTATATGTTTCCTCGGGATAAATAGCTGATCATTGGTCTGTACAAAGGTATTCGTCATGGCGAGGCAGTGGAGTCCATGGAAAGGTGAGCCAAAACGCCAATTAATGTTGACAGAACTGCGTTTTATAGGATGGAATCAAGGTGCAATGAGGCGTGTGTTGTGGTTTCCATAGCGTTGTGCAATCCTTTAGTATAGCGTTACTATAGCTACATCGTTGCTCTTCATGCTCGCTGCTGCTAAAGGGTCTTATTTACTGTCATGGGGCCGCCTGGGGTGGAAGACCCGATACAAGACGTTCTTTCATATCTATAGACAGGCCGTATTATGGAACATAGGCTCTTAAATTACACCTTTCTAATCAAGTAATCTACAAACATGACGGGACTGCAGTATGTTTACCCATTAGGCCGGTTAAGCAGCAGTTTAACGCGAATTACGAGTATCCTTAAAAGATGTGTAGTTTTAAATGTAAATGAAAAAGCAGGGACATTCCCTAAAGGAATGATACTTAAACGAGGACCTTAACGATGGTGTTTAAATGGTCAATCCTGCACATTGAGTACCTGAAGTATATTATTATGAAAATACTTGTTTTACTTTTACTTAAGTACCATTTTGGATGTAGGACTTTTACTTGTAACAAAGTATTTTTATACTTTAGTATTACTACTTTTACTTCGTAAATAATCAGAATACTTCTTCCACCTCTGGCTATTTTTGGTGCCCACTTTTTGTGTACTCTATTTTGTAAGATTATTTCTTCCACACCTAAGATGGAGCCCCTGCTTAGATACAAACAATTAGGCACTTTCACATTATAATATGAATGCTAAAGATAAGAATGTCCTCTACATATATATACTTACTTCTGATACTTCAACTATATCGGACTGTATTCCTATGCATGCAATTACCGAGCTTAAGCGTATCATAAAGGAATGTATTCTTCTTGCTGTTGTCCCATAATGCATTGTGTCTGACTGTCTCTGTGTGTGCAGGAGCAGAGCCCTGAGAGCCAGGGGACCTCAGGCTTCACCACACATCCCAGAGGAGTTCCCAGGTTCCCATGTGACCGAGAACAAGATGAGGCTTCTGAAACGCTTGCCAGCACACAGGTGATGGTCACATTACACAGCACAAAGACCCCTACTGTTTTCTGTCAACCACGCTCTCAGATAGATACGAGCCACCTGCTATCCAATGATCTTAACGAGATAGTTCAGCTGTTTAGAAGTGGAAGTTAGGCAATGTTGTGCAGTGTAAGCTATATTTAGAAAATCTTCGCCTCTTTGCTTTTTCTGTGAGACCGTGCTTTTCGACGGGTAACTAAGGCCTATTTCTTTGCTTTCTTCGAAGCTAATAAATATTGAAAGTAACAAAAAGGAAGCTGGTGCACCGTGGCCTCAAATGCTAAGCATGCAAGGGTTTTTGCGTGACTTTGGTGAATCCAAACCAAATAAAGTCACGCTATTACACTAACAAACTTACCAATATAGGCAGTAGCAGAGCAGCAACCCATGTGTTCCGTGTGGTGAAATAACTTTTTCTGTCAAGGGAGTTGTTGTCCACTACCGGAGGACCGAGGAGTCGAGGAGGGGAAATTAGAGTATTGAGAAGCCTTTATTGACTCATGAACATGAACCCTAAATGCTTAAATGCTAACTCATTACAAAGGTTAGGATTATTCCAGTACCACAACCAAAGCACAGAAGTTCTCCCTATTCACTGATTCAAGAATATTTTTCTTCCACTCCGACATGAGATAATAGCCGTTATCTGCATTCAGTAACAATGAGGAACCTGCCTCTGTGAAAACACCATGGTTCTGTGGCCTAGTCGAGTATCCTTCCTGTCAAATCAGATAGTGTTGCATATTTAAATACTTCAAATGACAAACCGTGTGTGTGTTTTTCTGTCTGTGTGCAGGCGGTGGTTGGCACTGGCTGTGGTTTTAGGTTTGCTGTGTGTGGCGATTCTGTCTCTGCCTCTGAGAGAGACGGAGACGAGCGTGCCTGTGGACTGGCATGTCAACCATGCGCATAAAAAGGTGAGAGACTTTACCACGGACTGAAACTAAAAATACAATTGTCAAATCATAAGTAAACAAGGAGAGACGCACCAAAGGTCTCCTAACATTAGGCAAGGCTGAGGGAAGATCTCATTTGTTTCAACAGATCCACAAATAGAATTAACAGTATTATTAACAATAAAATGCAAAATGGATAACGCTTGGATTTCAATTGGATTAAAACATATTTTAAAGAAAATTGTTCTTTTTACAACTCTAATGGTATTGTCCATGTAATAAATAGATAGATAGATGGATAGATAGATATAATGAGCTCTACTCAAACTCAGCTTTAAGTGTCAAGTCCTCCAATACATACATATTCTCAGAGTATCAATTATTAATTTGAGGGAAAAATGTAATTATATAAAATTAAGCAAGATAAGGTCTTATGTATTTGAGATGTATTCGAGTGAATGAATGCTTAGAGCCCATCTTCTACCTACATATTTTTATAAATGATATTGACACATTTACATAAAGTTTCTGCCAGTTTTTTTAAACTAATGATCTGCTTTAGTAATTTTCCTACAAAATGGCAGCAAAAAAGCCACTTATTTTAGCTCTTCAAATGTCAAAATGTCCTGCTTTTATCAGTTTTAAATGAAAGTAAATATCTTTTGGTTTTGGACAGACAAAACATCTTATTTAAAGACGAGGCCTGTATTCAAACTGCATGAATGAAAATTAAAACCCCCAATGCCAGCATTTACAACAACTGTCTGTTTGGCTGCTGATACAACCAGATAGAAAACTGTGGAATAAACAGAAAAGATTGAACAGAGATAATGTCAGTAAAGGTTCTGCAGTGAAACAGAGTCTGCTTTTTGTTATTCTAACGGTTCTTACTTCTTACCCTTTTTTTTAACAACCTATTTCCTTGCAGCAAGTGCATGAGCACGTGCACAGAGTCCTGGAGGGTCAGTGTCGGCCCAGCAGCACCAGGCACAGCTTGTTAGCTCGACTCCCCGCCTCAAGTCGCATGACCCAGGCCTTTCTGTGGAAGGACCTGCCGCTCCCCGACGACATCTTCCGGTACCCGCCTCCCTTTGGCTTCAGAGGGCTTCAGCACAAAGCAGAGGAGCTGCTGAAACTGGTGAATGCTCCTTCTTTCTCTCTGTCCTCTTCTTTCAGCATCATTTATTCTGAAGCCAGATTTCCATTTATTGGCACCTTCTGTTCTTATGTAACAGTCTAGTGATGCCTGTTAACATCAAAGTTATATTAAAAGATTCGGATTCCCGGCCACACCAATACAGCGAGAAGGACAGCACAATAGGTGTAAAATTGTTTATTTATACAAAGTTACTTTAAAAACACTCCTTTGATAAATACTTAAAATAACGTAAGGTTAAAATAATGTTCAATAAATATAAACCAGTTACTTAAGAATTACAGTTCTAGCAGGGGTTGATCAAATCCTGAAAGTCCTGTTCGCTTGGAACCAAACTCCACTCCGGTTTTTTGCCAGGCGGAAGTGCAAGGTTCAAGTCCCTTCCAGGAAATCCAGTGCCAGGATTTTCACAACTTTTGGTGCGTCCCGCAAATTGAGACGATGTCCTGCATATTTCATTTTGATTGGCTAAAACTTTTTTCTTAAAATCAGATTCATCCAATGGCTGTTGAGAAAGCAGGGAAGGCTATCAACACGTGACTGTGTTTGCTGTCAATCAAACTGTAACACACGGCGAGTGGTGGTCAAGTGTTAACCAATGAGAGTAACTCACGCACACCCCCCCCCCCCTTACTGCATTTTGACTTCACTTTCTGCTCTGTTGTTATATATTTGTTATGTTTTTTACGCCCGGGGGGGGCGGGGTGCTGTTGAGAGGGTGTCCCACATTGTCCCACATTGTCCCATACAACCATACTCCTTGTCCCACATTTGGTTTGTTTGGATCTGGTCACCCTAGGTTAAACAAGCATGCAAATAAAAAGAGTTCATCGCTAAATAGCGCACATTAAAATCACAACACTATATGTAACATGCAACAATTATATCAAAGGTTTAACCATCCGTCCCACTGTCTAACATACTGACTTTATTCACTTTGTGACACTTACAAAAATGGTAGTGCCAGAACACGCCAAAAACAAAGCATTTGCCATAAGGAACATTACCTACGGCGGCCAACAGTTGCAAACGTGTTACAACGGCCCTAACCTTCTGCAGTTTCAAATTCTATTCAAATATAAAAACACAAATGTGCCAGAACACATGCAAATGCTGAAACATCTTCACCAACTTGACAGCATATGCACGGCATTTAGAAAACATTCACCAACTGGACCAAACATGCGCTAGGGTTAGTCAAAGCGCTGCATAAACAAAACGGCAGTGTAACCAAATATAAGTCAGCAGGGTTCGTACGGGTGCTGGAAATCCTTAAAAATGCTTGAAATTGTACAAGGTGTTTTCAAAGTTTGAAAAGTGCTTGAATTTTGGGAATGGTGCTTGAAATTGTAACGTTAGCGAGCTGAATAGCGAACTCGATGAGGGATAATAATAATAATTGCAGGGGACAATCATTTCAGAGGAGCGTACCTATGTTAATATGTGCGTTACAGTCGCCATCCTGTGGTGTTCAGAGGATGAAGCACTCACTGTTGTAATTCAACCCAGTCTCACGGCATTTCGTGTTATAGTCACGAAATATAATCTATTGATTCGAGCGATTTTAAAAGCAATGTATTTCAACTGGTAGTATGTTTCGTGCCTAAACCAAATGTGACTTGCTCTATCGAAATCAGTCACATTGACCCGAAGACACATTTCCGTTTGTATTACTGGTCTGGGGGAAGCTCGCGAGTGTGTTTGTGTTTGTGTATTTTTGCGTTAGTGTGTATTGTTTTGTGTACCGGGGAAACACTCACAAGAAACACCGGCTGTTGTTATGCTTGATGTGACGTTAAATTTCTCCGCTTGTATTTAAAAGTCAAATTATATTTGTTTCTGAAATGTTACTCAAATTACATATCACTGTATCACAAAGTTTCGAGTTATTCACGTGAATAACTCGAAACTTTGTGAGACCCAATATATTTCCTTAATGATTTGATATAATATGAACTTTTCTGTGCGGAAGTTCTAATAATTGTCTCCTGGTGTGACATTATGTTTAATGACAATATTTAATTCAGAGATTGTCAGACAGAGAAGAAATATATGCTCAACCATTATCAACTTGTTTTAAATATTTCCCTACAACAATAGTAATCCATTTAAAATTTACAATCATGTTATTGCCCTACTAAATGATCTACACATAGGGACTTTTCATAAAAGTTTTGGTTATTTTCATTATAATAAGTATGAAACTTGATTGAACTAAAAACTATCTTTACATATCCATAGTGATTATATTACACTTTTTCTATTCAACCCTTTTCTCAGGCATTTGAGAACCAAAATGCCTATTTTCTTTACTTTTCTTTTTGTCGCACCACAGGACATTCTGTCACACCGATGGACACCATTACAAAAATATGCCATTTTTTGTACAAAATCTTTATTATTTCATATCTACTCTCTAAGGTTATATTCTGAGCATCAGAACCAACAGTGCTATTTAAAAAAAATAAATAAAAATTATTGGCTAATAGCCATCATAACATCATGTCACATCATAACATGGACATAAATGGAAATGTGAATAACAATGGATAGCTTGAAACATATTCAAAACAATTCATTAAACAATTCATCCATAAAACTCATTGATGTTCATAATGTTTCTACATTCTTTCAGATCTCATTGAATAGTAACCAGTCATATTCGGTGAGCTGTGCTGTGCTGTGCTGGTTGGGCTCTGGCTCGGAGATGACACTGGCGATTTGTTCTCTGTGGTAGAAAATGCAGTCTGGCTTATTAGGCCACTTGAATACATTTATCTTTCCATGCTGAACCATGCAGTTGATTTCAATGTTGTCAAGAAGTAGCTTGGTGATCTGACCAACAAATAGTTTGTTGTTATAGCTAACTATGACAAACTTTCCCACAGTGTACTCTTCATTCTTCTCCACATCAGTACTGGGACTCTCAGCATAGGTCTTCTGGATGCTGTCTGGCTGCAGGTGATCAGAATTTGCATTCGAAGAATCGTCCATCCTCATCTTAGTTGGTTTGAAGCATTCACACATCTCTGGGTATTGGCAGAAGCAGCTCAGATCCATTACATTACATTACATTACATTGCATTTAGCTGACGCTTTTATCCAAAGCGACTTACAATAAGTACATTCGACCAGGAAGACACAACCTTGAAGAAAACAGAATCATATAAGTACATCAGGTTTCATAGAGCCAAACATTTCAAGTGCTACTCAACTGGCTTTAGGTAAGCCAGTCCTTTATTAGTATAAAAGTGCTTCGTTAATAGTTCTAACGCTCGAAGTGGAGTCGAAAGAGATGAGTTTTCAGTTTGCGCCGGAAGATGTGCAAGCTATCTGCCGTCCTGATGTCAATGGGGAGCTCATTCCACCATCTTGGAGCCAGGACAGCAAACCCACGTGTTTTCGCCGATGGGAACTTGGGTCCCCCTCGCAGCGAGGGCGCAACGAGTCGTTTGGCTGATGCAGAGCGTAGTGCACGCGCTGGGGTGTACGGTTTAACCATGTCCTGGATGTAGGAAGGGCCAGATCCATTCGCAGCATGGTACGCAAGTACCAGTGTCTTGAAGTGGATTCTAGCAGTTACCGGAAGCCAGTGAAGGGAGCGGAGGAGCGGAGTGGTGTGGGAGAATTTAGGAAGGTTGAAGACCAGACGAGCCGCTGCATTCTGGATGAGCTGCAGAGGTCGGATGGCACATGCAGGTAGACCAGCCAGGAGAGAGTTGCAGTAGTCTAGGCGTGAGATGACGAGAGCCTGGACCAGAACCTGAGTCGCTTTCTGAGTCAGCTGAGGACGTATCTTCCTGATGTTGTAAAGCGTGTATCTGCAGCAACGGGTTGTAGCAGCGATGTTTGCAGTGAAGGACAGGCTGTTATCTAGGGTCACACCCAGATTCCTTGCAGTCTGAGTCGGGGAAATAACTGAGGTGCCGATGTTGATTGTTAGGTCAAGAGTTGGACAATCTTTTCCCGGGAGGAAGAGCAGCTCAGTCTTGTCAAGGTTGAGCTTGAGGTGGTGAGCAGACATCCACTGAGAGATGTCAGCTAGACAAGCAGAGATGCGTGCGACGACCTGGGTCTCTGAGCGGGGAAAGGACAGAATTAATTGGGTGTCGTCAGCGTAGCAGTGGTAAGAAAAACCATGCGGGCTAATGACTGATCCGAGCGAGTTTGTGTACAGGGAGAAGAGGAGGGGACCAAGAACGGAGCCCTGAGGGACCCCCGTAGTTAATTGACAAGGGTCGGACTCAGACCCTCTCCAAGTCACCCTGTAGGTACGGTCTTTCAGGTATGAGGTGAGGAGGGAAAGTGCAGAGCCTGAAACTCCAAGTTTTTGGAGAGTGCGAAGGAGGATCTGATGATTCACCGTGTCGAATGCAGCAGACAGGTCCAACAGGATGATGACAGAGGAGAGGGATGCAGTTTTGGCAGTGTGCAGTTCCTCCGTGACAGCAATGAGAGCAGTTTCTGTGGAGTGACCTGCCTTGAAACCAGACTGGTGCGGATCCAGAAGGTTGTTCTGTTGAGATAACAGGAGAGTTGTTTAAAGACAGCGCGTTCAAGTGATTTAGACAGGAACGGGAGGAGAGAGACAGGCCTGTAGTTTATAACATCAGACGGGTTGAGAGTGGGTTTCTTTAGGAGAGGGTTTACTCTTGCCTCCTTGAGACTGTTTGGAAAGTGACCAGAAGTTAGAGAAGTGTTGATGAAATGGGTGAGAAACGGTAGAATATCAGGAGCGATAGTCTGAAGGAGGTTTGAAGGGATAGGGTCCAGAGGACAGGTGGTAGGGCGGGCAGAGGTAATGAGAGTAAGAACCTCACTTGGAGAGAGAGGGGAAAAGGAGGTTAGTGTGTTGGTGGAAGGAAGGTCTGGTGACCCAGCGGTGAGTAAAGGTGAGTCAGAAAAAGAAGAGCGAATATCATCAACCTTTTTTTCAAAGTGGGTAACAAAGTCGCTTGACAGAAGTGAGGAGGGGGGAGGAG